GACACCTCCCCGAAGGGCCAGGGTCTGTAGCGCCCTCCCTGCTCATCCCTGGACCCCACTCTTAGAGTGAGGCTGGGCTAGTGATACCACAGCACAGGACATTAAAGGGGCATCCAACAAACATGCCAACCTGAGTTCCTGTCTGTCTTTGCATCCTTGTTACGGGCCATTCTGGAGAAAAGTAACATTAAGTGAGCATCTACTATATGCCAGGTACTTTACAAAAAGAACCTGCTTAACTACCCAAACAGTTCTGTGGGGGCGGGAGGATCCAATGGGATCCGAAGCTGATACAACTTGGTGGTGGTGGTTCATAGACAGGATTTTTTTGATGTGACTATAAGAGACTAGAACCTTTCTTGGGGCTTCAGAAGGAGCTGGTGCTAGTTGCAGGTCAGAAAAGCTCACCAGTGGCCTCCGGTAGAGGCAGGTGAGGCTCAGAGGGGCCATGTGGTGGAGCGGGGATTCAAACCAAGGACGCACCCCCAAGTTCAGCTGCTTCTCTTCTCCGTTGCTCCTGGGGGCAGCTGGAGTATGTGGGGTGGTGGGGATGGTGTGTGTGTGTGTGTGTGTGTGTGTAGGTTGCATGTACATATGTACATACGTGTTTGGAGGCCAGAGGACAACTCCATGTGTTGCTTCGCAAACACTGTCTACTTTTTTTTTTTTTGACCCGGGATCTCTCGCCAGCCTGAAATCTACACAGTAGGCTAGGCTGGCTGGCCAGAGAACCCGCCCCAGCCCCCCAGCTTTGACAAGAGGAAACAGAAGATCAGTAGCCCACTGGCGAAGTAGCCAGATGCCCAGAAGGTGATGCTCAGAATGACGTCATAGTCTTGTTGAAGAAGCTGTTCGAGAATTAAGTTATAAGCTGGGTGTGGCGGCAGCACCTGTAGTTCCGGCTACTCATGAAGCTGAGGCAGGAGGATTGCTGCAGTCCCAGAGGTCAGGAGAGCCTGGGCAACATAGCAAACCCTTTCCCTTGAAAAGAGCAAAAGAGAAAGAAGAAGGAAGAGGTGGAGTGTGAGGAGGAAAGAAGGGAGGGGAGGGGAGGGGAAGGGAGGGAAGGGAAGGGAAGGGGTAAGAGTCTGGTTAACTGCAGCCCATCAGGACCTGGTGTAAGACCACCACAGAGCATGGCAACTCCAGAGTCCTGAGCAGAACTGGCTCTCCCTTCCCTGCAGCCATCACTTTCAAATAGTTCCTCAGGATGGATGAGGCCCATGAGCCTCTTCCTCTCCAGGCCAGAATGCAGATTGGCTTGACCTTTTCCAGATCTGGTATGGCTCTTTTTTTTTTTTTAACCACCTATCAGTTGTTTTTGGGATGAGGTTGGAGGGTTTTTAGGAGCCACTTCTCTCCAATGTGTGCTGTGGGACAATGGTCTTGTATCCTGTAAAGATTGTTATTTGTATTCTAATAAAGTGCTGATTGGCAAGTAGCTGGGCAGGAAGTATAGGTGGGGCAACCAGGCAGGACATATAGACATATAAGGCAACAAGAACAAAAGAATTCTGGGAAGAGCAAAGGCTCAGTCTGTAGTCGTCACCCAGATACAGGGGAAGCAAGATGAGAACGCCTCACTGATAAAAGGTAGCAAGTCACATGGCTAACACAGACAAGAGTTATGGGCTAATTTAAGATGTAAGAGTTAATAAGAAACCTGAGATAATAGGTTAATCAGTCTGTAATTAATGTAGACCTCTGTGTGCTGTTTTTGGAACTGAACAGATGTGGGACCAGGTAGGACAGAAACCTGTGCCAATTCCCTTACCTGCCCAGAAAGGCACAATGGAGACAGGACTTACATGAGAAAGCGAAGATAATTCGACAGTAGTCTTAAAACTAGTACAGCTCTCTGTGGTTCTGAACTGGGCAGATAGTTTTCTTCTCTGGTTGCAATGGCTAATTTTAGCTGTCAGTTTGACTGGATTAGGGAGTAATCAGCTGGTATGCTATTTTACTTTCAGCTACTATAATAAAAGGCTTGAGGGAGGCCAACTTTATAAAGAAAAGAGGGCTTTTTAGCTCAGCATTTTAGAGGTAGTGCCATTGGTTTGGCCTCTTGGAAAGGCCTGAAAGCAAGTGGTGATCGTGGTGACACCATGGTGGAAGCATTTGTGCCGGAGTCATAGTGTTGGCAAGAAGGCATAGCAGTTTGGGGGAAGGAGGCATAGCCACTTGCTTTTGTGATCACTCAGGGTGCTCAGGAGATTGAGGCAAAAAAAAATCACTGCCTTCCCAGGGTGGCGACTGTAATGACCTAAGGACCTTCCCCTCGGAGTCACCTTTTAAAGGCCTCACATCATCTCCCTGCCCTGGCAAGCTTCCAGCACATGGACTCTTAGGGTTCATGCGTTATCCAGACTATAGAGGCTGGGTGGGCCTTCTGGAGGAGATCAGCAGGCATATGAGTCCGTGGGCTGAGTGGGAAGATCTGCCACCTGTGGGCTCCATCCAACTAGCCTAGTAAAACTAAGAGGAGAGGGAAAAGAAGGTCTCTCTCTCTCCTGCTGTTAGGACATTGTGTTGGGGTTCTCTAGAGTAACAAGCTTTGAGAAGGGATCTGTTTTATCAAAGGAGATTTGTGAGAGTGTTTACATGGTAGGAGCTGTGTAATCCAGCAATGGTCCTCAGCACACTGGAGAGGTTGAGAATCTGTTCAGTGCACTAGAGCAGAGGCCTCGGCAGTCCTATCCATGCTGGGAGGCTGGAGCCGCATTTCCTTCCTTCTCCTGTGGAATTCTACTTCCATGTCTTCTGCGTGCATGGCCCAGTGAGTTTTATTTGGATTGCTGATAGGAACCTGGGCATCTCCCCAGTGGCTACAGCACTGAAGAAAACGTCTCTCTTCCCCAGCAACCTTTAAATGCCTGTGGATCCTCAGGGAGGGGTGGGCCTCATGAGCTCAGCCCTAGTTTCAGGATTTTACATGTGGAAACCCAGTTTTCCCAGTTCCTATGTTGAAGAGGTGGCCTTTGAGCCAGCATTGCTTTGGGCGCCTTTGCCCACAATCGTGTGGCTTTAGCATTTCTGGGTCCTTTATAATCTAGTCCATTGGCGAATGTGCTCTCTTTCCTTCCCTCCTATTCTCCCTCCTTTCTTTCCTCCCTCCTCCCCTCCCTCCCTTCCTTCCATACTTTCTCTGTGCGTGAAAATGCGTACAAAGCACATAATGACAGACAATCTGATTATCTCTTCAACATATGGACTGAGAAAACTGGATTTCCTATAGCTTGCTGCCCTGTCAGAGGTGTGTTTACCCAGGAACTGCACTCGATCCTCCAGCTCTGGAATGCCGGTGGCCTGCTCTTTGGCAGGCATTTTTTTTTACTTGCTTTTTGTTTGTTTGTTTGTTTGTTTCTGCTTAGTGTGAAAAGGTCTGTTTAAGTACCCTGCTGGAGAGCAGAGTTTCTTTTCTTTTTTATTAAATCCATCTCATTTTAATTGTTTGGACAGAAATGAGCTATGCATTCCTCCCCTTCCCTTCCACCCCCTCCTCTGCCCTCCGTGCTCCCAATTTACTCAGGAGATCTTGTCTTTTTTCCACTTCCTAGGCGGATCCACGTTTGTCTCTCTTAGGGTCCTCTTTGCTACCTAGGTTTTCTGGAGTTGAGGCTGGTTGTTCTTTGCTTTATGTCTATTATCTACTTATGAGTGATTAGATAGTATATTTGTCTTTCTGGGTCCGGGTTCTCTCACTCAGGATGGTGTTTTCTCGTGCCGTCCATTTGCCAGAGCAGAATTTCCTAACGCAGCTGTATCCCACCCCTTTTTGTCAGCTTTCTCGGGCTCTACATGGAAATGTAGGCCCACGTTGGAATGTAAAATATAGTTTGTTTGCTTTTTTTACACTTTGGGAGCCCACCACCCAGATCTCAGATAGCTACCTGGAGACTTATTCTCACTTATGACTGCCCAGCCTTAGCGTGGCTTGTTTCTAGCCAGCTTTTCTACCTGAAATGATCCCATCTACCCTTTGCCCCTGGGCTTTTCCTTTCCCTCTTCTCTATTCCTCTCTTTCCTTCTTACTCTGTGACTGGCTGAGTGGCTGGGCTCTGGCATCCTCTTCTTCTCCTTTGTCCAAGCCTCCTTCTTCTCCTCCTATTCTCTCTGCCTGGCAGCCCCACCTGTTTCTCTCTCCTGCCTAACTGTTGGCTGCTCAGCTCTTTATTAGACCATTCAGGTGTTTTAGGCAGGCTAAACGCAGCTTCACAGAGTTAAACAAATGCCACAGAAAAGAATGCAACACATCTCTGCATCATTAAGCAGATATTCCACAGCAGAGATGAACGTTACACATCTTCAAATAATATTCCACAACAGGAAGCAGGCTGTTCATTCTCCCCGGGCCACAGCTTCCCAATGTCCTTAACACAGCCATGTACCATCTGCCCAAAGGAACCTCCAGCTGCCTCTTTCTTTCCCTTTTTTCAGAGACGTCCCAGCTGTACTTCATGAATGAACTGCTCACCACGCTAAGTAGCTAATGCATTAGGTTTGGTGGAGGATAAGGACTTGTAAAAACTCAACTTTGTTATAGGAGATGTCAGTTTGTAGTATGATTTATACAGCTGGAAGTGTCCCGGAATAGATTCTGAAAATGATGGATTTATACTATGCTACAGGAATATGTTGGTTTCTAGAACTCAGATTTTTTTCATTTGTTAATATTCTATGTAACAGTCCCCAACTACCACTCCAAAGGAGGCTAGAAATCGGAGCTACATGAAACAGAAAAGGTGAGAAAACACCAGTGAAATCATTAATACGCGTTTTTGGTTGGAATGGCTTTTTTTAAAAAAAAAATCCCTTTTGCCTGGCGATGGTGGTGCACGCCTTTAATCCCAGCACTCGGGAGGCAGAGGCAGGTGGATCTCTGTGAGTTCGAGACCAGCCTGGTCTACAGAGCTAGTCCCAGGACAGGCTCCAAAGCCACAGAGAAACCCTGTCTCGAAAAACCAAAAAAAAAAAAAATCCCTTTTCTGATGTTTATCCATCTGTGGAAGGAATGACGTGGTTTTCAAACATTTGGCTCATTGTGGAGAGGGTATTTTTTCCACACGGTAGAAACGGGAGTGCTTTTCAGAGGCCACACTAGGTTAAGAGAATCTCTGTTGTTAGCCGGCATGTGGTGCACACCTTTAACTGCAGCACTAGTAGGCAGAGGCAGCTGGAGCTCTGCGAATTTGAGGCCAGCCTGGCATACAGAGCAAGTTCTAGGCTAGTCAGGGCTACATAGTGAGGCCTCATCACAAAACAACTGAATAAGGAACCAACCACAGGCCACCACTGAAACTGTCACTGTTGTGTTAGGTCGGAGGAAGCAGGAGACTAGAGACACTGACTCAGCAAACTGGACTGACTGTTTCAGACATCAGTGGGCAGGCACAGTGGTAACGGAGTGTCTGCCAAAGGGGAAGGGATCCTCGGGGTTATATGGGAAGCTTGGGAAATACAACCCCTGGGGCTACATCCAGACCTGCAGTTTCTCCCTCCTGGAGCTGGTAGTCCAGGCGAGGACATTTTATCTTTAGAAACTGCTTTGCCCAGCTGTCATGATGTGAGTCGTAGTCAACGACTGAGTTTGGCAATGGCAATGACGGGTAAGGGACTGTGGAGTTTCAGCACAGGGCTTCGGTCAGGGTCTGGTAAAGTTTGTCCAGGGTTTATTTCACTAGCTATATGGAGACAAACTGCCACAGTTTTGCTTCTTAAGTGGTGGCGTATTTATCATTGCTGCTTCGTTTTTACTTTTTAGAGATTTATTTCATTTTGTGCGGAGTGTTTTCCCTGCATGTTCTATGCACACCTTGCACATGCCTGGTACCTGTAGCGGTCAGAAGAGGGCATAGGATCACCTGGAACTGGAGTTATGGATGGTTGTGAACTACCACGTGTGTTCTGGGAACTGAACCCTGGTTTTCAATGGCTGAGCATTTTCTCTAGCCCCAAGTAGGAAATTTGTGTTTAACAGAATTTTCCATTCAGACATGTTTGCAGGGCGACAAAATGGCTCAGCAGGTAAGAACACTTGCTGCACAAGCCTGGAAATCCAAACCCCACGCCTGCCGCCCCTGTGAAAGAGCCAGATGTGATGGTATGTGTCTATAGTTGCAACACTCCCATTCCAAGAAAGAAGTGTCTGTAAGCTTGTGGAGCAGCTAGCTAGCCTGTAGTATAGCGCATGGCAGGAACAAGAGCGACCCTGCCTCAAAACAAACTGAAACAGAGCTAACTCCTGCAAGCTGTCCTCTGGTCTCCACATACACCCCGTGGTGTACAAGTGTCCACTTATACATGTAATCATATATAAACACACATACAGAGCAGTAAAACACCATTTTAAAATGTTCCCTTATATTGCAGTAGAATAAAGTGGAAAAGACCAATTATTAGATAATGGTTTACTGATTCAGTCAGCGATGCACTTGTAGCGCCTATTGACCAAGCATGACCTCACTCACTTCCTGGAACAGAATGTCCTGGAGAAACAGCTGAAAGGTCATTGCCCTTCACATCCTGGTGACTGCCATATCTACTTCTATAAACTCTCACTTGCTAGCCCAGCTCACCTTATGGTTTGAGTACAAAATGAGAAGGCAAACTGGCCCAGGACGGAAGCCTTCCAGTAGCTATTCTGATTCTGGACCACCAGTGAGAGCTCTTCCATTCTCACTGATGCTGGAATGCCTATTCCAGAACGGTTCCGACAACAGCATCATTTCACATGATGACACGGGGGCCGTTTATGGAACAGCGTGTGCTGACGTTTAAGTATGAAGCAATATACTGCCGGTAATGATGAGTGCATTCATCAGTCCCTGAGCAAAACTGCCAGATAAACACAGAGATTGTACTTTCATCTTCAATAGATCAGAGGAGTGTTTCAAAAGCCGTTAGGGCAAATATTAACCGAAGCAGCACACACTTGTGGCTGACCAGACTTTCCTGCCGCTGAACAATATTGTCCTTCTCAGCATTGTCAATGATACGTGAGGAAAAGGAGATAAAAATCCAGAAGTTCAAGTTTAGAGTCAAAATAGTAAGGGATTGCCTACTCAGCCATATATGAGTGGCCATATCACCCCCTCCAAGGCTCAGGGAACATCAGAAGGGGCAGAAATAATGCAAGCACCGGAGGATGCCGTGGAATGTTGTAGAACGCTGTCTTCCAGGAATGACATGGATGCTGCCTTTTTATTTTTGGCTTTTTGAGACAGGGTTTCTCTGTGTAGCCCTGGCTGTCCTGGAACTTGCTTTGCAGACCAGGCTGGCTAGAACTCAGAGATCTGCCTGCCTCTGTTTCCTGAGTGCTGAGATTAAAGGCATATGCTGCCGCCACACACCAAAATCTGATCATGTAGGAGGGATGGGCTCACAAGGCTCCACCCCTAAGGAAGAATCTGTTAACTAGTCTGTTAACCTCTATTGAAGGTAGTTTTAACTGTTGCTGGTAGAGGAAAGACATTTTCTTTAGTGGTGTAGCCACTGTTAAGGTGTCAATGCTCCTGTATAAGCCCTTACCCAAGCTCAGACAATAAAAACCCTAACAAAACTCATTAGGTCATCCCCACCCAAAAAAGACAGGGAACTAGAAGAGGAACTAATTGGGAAGACAGATGGGTCAGAAGGAAAGGGTAGCTGTCTTCTTTATTCTATTGTCAACTTGACACATAGACACCTGGGAAGAGGAATCATCAGTTGAAGAATTTTTCATGAGATTGGCCTGTGATTTTGTTTTGATTGATGATTGGATGTACTATGCATGTACCTAGGGGTGGGGGGGGGACGGACACACGACGATGACGACGAAAACGACGACGATGACGACGACACTAGGTCGATTAAGAAAGCTAGCTGAGCAGAAGCCAGCGAGCCACCCACTCAGCAGATTCCTGAGTTTCTGCTTCAGTTCCTAAGCTAGTTTTCCTGGGATCGGACTGCAACTCAGAACCCTTTCTTTCACCAAAATGCCTTGGGAATGGTATTAATCACAACATTAGAAACTAGAAGGGTAGGGGAGTTGTTAGCATTCAAGCATTGTGCTGGCCCGCCCTTAGGATTCTCAACTGCAGCCACAAGAGCACTCCTTATGCACAGGTGCTGGTTAGTACTCAGGCACCGACACTGGCCGGCTCTAAGGTCCTGACAATATGTCACAAGCCACCGCCATTACCTAGAGCTGTCCCTGTGCAGAGGCCCGTATCATGTCTCCCTCTCTTCCACCGCTCCGGTCTCTACTGTTGCCCTCTCCCTTCCCTTCCCCAAGTCAACTTCCCACATGTGCTCTGTTGTCTGGTGTAACTTTTGTTCTCGCCACTGCACCACACCACAGAACAACACTAGCAGGCTCTCCTGGTGGGCCCCCTTCCACCTACAGGCAGTTTGAGACACACCGGGATCCAGCTCCCAGTCTACCCACTACAGGCTCACCTTTCACCTGACCTATCGCTGGGCCCTCCAACCAACACGGGCACAGTCGGTAAGTTTCCCTTCTCCTGGTCAGTGTAACCCCTTCCTTGGATCCATGGGAGTGACTGCTGAGCATCTGGCACCCCTCTGGTGTTCTTGGAGGTGGAGAAACCTCCAACCACAGTCTTCAAGGATACGGCTGACCCTCATCGCCCACACTCATCTCTGGCCACTCTCTTGAGCATGGTTTTTCACGTGTTGGCACCACCAAGTCCTGATACCAGGTAACCATGTCTCTCTCTTTCAGGCTTGGAGCCCTCCGGCCCTGCTCTTTGTGTGACAACACACCAGACAGCCTGTGCCCATTTAGTTTGATCCTCCCTGAATTCCCGGGATTCTAGGGATTCCAGGCTATTGGATCTTCTGTCTCTGCCTCACTCATGGGAACTGTGTCATTGTCAGGATCTCCAAGCTCCCCACTGGATGCGTCTCAGAAAACCTCAAACTTCTACACTCAGCACCCAACTTAAGAGCTTCCAAAATTGTATGCCTTTTCAGTCAAGTATGGACTACTCATTAGATAATCAATTAAAATGTCTGCCTACCGATAGCCTGGATCCCAATCTTATACTTTGTCAACTTTTGCCAGCAATTAGGCAGGTTGAAGGAGGTGTCTCATATCCAAGTATTTTCTTGCCTTAGTTCCAAAGGCAAGAATCCTCCATTTGTTCTTCCTGTCCCCCAACTCTGCTCCTTCTCTCTAAGAAATCTGAACTAGAGGAAACTTCCACTATTCAGGACCCTGCTAACAAGCCTCCATTCTACTGACCTCAACACACAACTGCTCATCTTCAGCTCCCTCAGCTGCTTCCTCCTCTCCAGTAACAGGCCATTCTAACTGACTGTAGTACCCACTTTCACTCCATTACTTGCTTCACTCCACTATGGAACCCCCTTCCTCTCTCTACCCAGCCCTGTAGATGGAAGCTTCTGTCTCATCTGGTTCCACAGCTGCTCAGTCCCAAAGAAACATACAGAAGCTTATATTAATTATAAACAGTTTGGCCTATTAGCTCAGGGTTATTATAAACTAGCTCTTACAACTTAAATTAACCCATAATTCTTGTCTATCTTTAGCCACATGGCTTGGTACCTTTTCTCAGTAGGGCATTTTCATCTTGCTTCCTCTGCATCTCGCTGGTGACTGACTCTACCTTTCCTTTTCCCAGAATTTTCTTAGTCAGATTGCTCAGCCTATACTTCCTGCCTGGCTACTGGCCAACTGGCGTTTTATTAAGTTAATATGAGTGACAAATCTTTACAGTGTACAAGAGCATTATCCCACAGTATTTCCCCTTTTTTCTTTTCAAAACAAGAACTTTGAATCTACTCTTCCTTGTTTAGCTTTTTTTAATGACCATTGTCCATAACAACTTGTAACCAATACTCCAAACAAAGAAAAACATCCATAATCCATTTTTGAGTAATGTGGGCATGGTTTTCTAGGCTACTTCCTGCTGACTGGGGCCACTGATAATCTTATGGAGACCCAAAGAAAGTTTAGGATTATGGTCAAGTCCTGACTGGACTATTCTGTGAGGCTGGATCATCTCAGTCAGCAGTCTTAAAACTGTTCTGGATGTAGAACTCATAGGAAACTGCAACAGAGCTGCTCTAAAACCAGTTGTAAGAGCTAGTTAATAATAATAATAAACCTGAGCTAACAGGCCAAACAGTTTATAATTAGTATAAACCTCTGTGTGTTTCTTTGGGACTGAGAAGCTGTGGGACTGGGTGGGACAGAAACTCCCATCTACAATACATGTTTGGATGGCAGAGAACAACTCTGGAAGCTAGTTTTCCCTCTGTGATATGGGTCCCAGGGATCAAACTCAAACTGAAAGGCTTGTCTGAAAGTGTTTTTACTCACTGAGTCATCTTTCTGGACTCTAAATTATCCTTTAATAAAGATGTAAACTATTAGCCAGCCATGGCAGTACATACCTTGAATCCCACCACTTGGGAGGCAGAGGCAGGTGGATCTCTGTGAGTTCAAGGTCAACCTGGTCTACAAAACAAGTTGCAGATCAGACAGTTCTACACAGAGAAACACTGTCTTGAAAAGCAAAACAACAAAAAGATATAAACTATTTTTCTTTGAAAAAAAAAAACACCTCCATTTGTCTATTTTAAAATGCAGCAAAAAAAAAAAATAAACAAAACCAAAAACAGCTCTGGTCGCATACACCTGCTATTCCAGAATTCAGGAGGTTGTGGCGGGAATCATGAGTTCCAGGCCAAAATAGGGAGATCCTGATTTAAACAAACAAATGATTAAGATGCAGTAGAAAGAAGTTGTTTCAGTCTCAAATTACTACATGTAAGTGCATAATTCTCACCTATGCAAGAAGAATACTGCACATCAAAGAAAAGTCTTCTCTAGATACTGATGAGAATTCTATGGGTGCGTGCCTGATCTCCAGTGCTGGGTAGGTCAAACTATAGTTTCAGGATCTGATAGTTCATTAGGTGGAACATGGGCCGTTCCCCTTAAGTTCCCACCTCCCAGGTTGGCCAGAGAATCTACATTCCTGGAATGTTCCAGAGCATCACTAGGTATGGATCCATCATCAGGTAAGAAAGCTCTTTCGAGGCTCAGCATACCCTGAACCTCATCAATTATCTTTATATCTCACATCTGCATCCCTTCTCTTCCCAGAGCGTACCTGACTGAGTTGCCTGGGTGAGAACAAACCTGCAACTGTAGTCCACCTACACTTCTCCTTGGGCATTTGGGCTTGCTGTTGGATTGGCCCTTCTCTCAATGCAGTGTTTACTCTGGGAATTCCCAGTCTTTACAAGTGGCTTCTGCCAAGGCTACTGCAACTGATTCAACCTGTGGATAATTTAACCCAACAGTGGAAAGAGTGTAAGACTTTGCTCAGATCCTAACAAAAATCTCTGAATTTGATGTTTGAAGATAACTACCTAACCATGTATGAGTATGACTGAATCTTATCTCCACTTGTGTACCACTGAAGTTTCGTTAGGATTATTAGTTTTACTGATGTTGTGCTGTTATTAGCTTTACTGATGTTGTGAAGTCTTCTATTTATCATATAAAGGGTGAATGTATTGAGCAGTAACAGAAAAAAAAGAAAAAAATGAAAACAAAAACTGGGAAAGACTACAAATAGATAATTACTTTAAATGGTAAAAGTTTACACCATTTAAGAACAACTCTAAGAATGCATTTTAAATACTAGTGTTTTATACAAAACATACAACATAACCGAGAACTTTGGAGCCAATGAATTAGTGTTAGGGCCAGTGAGATGGATCAGTGCATAAAGGCACTTGGCAGACAAGCCTGGCAACCTGATTTTAATTCCTGGAAACCATGTAAAGAACAAATGAGAGAACTGATTCCACAGACTTTTTCTCCAACCTCCGTATGTGTACTGTGGCTCACATGCTCTTTGCCACTATATACAACAAATACTAAATAAATTCAAAGAACTGACTTTTGATCTATGGAGTGTCTGCTACTTATTGAGGGACTTTTGACAGGAGTAACTAACTTTGGCCTTATCTTTCTCAATTTTAAAAATGTAATGCCAATTAGTTCTTATGAAATTGCAGTCAATGCCAGCACATGGGACCTATGTAGTATGTATGTAGCAGGCACAAGACAAAGTTCTGTTTCTTCCTTCTTTAGTAGGAGATAGTCCCTATCATGCAACCTGAGCCATGGGGTTGGCTTGCAAGGTTCTCCATTAAAAACTTTTTGTTGTTTTGGGGATTGAACCAATAACTTCACACACACATAGGCAAGTATTGGGGAAACAATAGCCCCAGGCTCAAAAGTTTGTTTTTGTTTCTTAAGTCCTGGCTGGCCTGAACTCACAGGGATCTATTTGTTTTTGTCTTTTCCAGTGTTGGCATTAAAAGTGTATGCAACCATATTTGGCCCTAAAAGTGTTTTTAAAAAACAGAGTTTGTTGCTGGGTAGTGGTGGCGCACACCTTTAATCCCAGTACTCGGGAATCAGAGGCAGGAGGATCTCTGAATTCAAGACCAGCCTGGTCTACAAGAGCTAGTTCCAGGATAGTTAGGACTGTTACACAGAGAAACCTTGTCTTGAAAAAAAAAAAAAACTAACAAAGCCAAAACAACAACAAAAAAAGTTTGTTGATAAAAGATCAATTTCATTCTGAATTTAAGGTTAACATAATTATGCAGATTATTTTGTCTCAAAGACAGGGTCTCACCATGCAGCTCAGATAGTATCTTGAAATTCAATGCTGTAGCCCAGGCTGGTCTATGTGTGACCCTTTTGTCTCACTCTCAAGAGCAGGTATTACAGGCATATACAACTACACTCAGCTTATTTTATCTTAAACATCACCATCATTCTCAAGGAATTCTTGAGAAATTTCATCCACAGTTAATCTTGATTATCAACTTGATTAAATTTAGAATCCCCATGGGATCAGAATCACCCCCTTTGGGCATATTTGTGGGGTATTTTTTTGTTTTCGAGACAAGGTTTCTCTGTAGTTTTAGAGCCTGTCCTGGAACTAGCTCTTGTAGACCAGGCTGGCCTCGAACTCACAGAGATCCGCCTGCCTCTGCCTCCCGAGTGCTGGGATTAAAGGCATGTGCCACCACCGCCCGGCTCTTTTTGGGCACATTTGTAAAGAATTACCTGGTTCAGGTTAATTGATATGAGAAAACCTATCTGAATGTGTTTGAATGGAACCATTCCCTAGGCTGGAGTCCTGAACTAAGTCAAAAGGAGAGAGCAGGCTGAGCACTAGTCTCCAATTCTCTGCTCTCTGACTATGAATGTGATATGATACCACCTCCCTGTCTTCCCTACCTGGTGCACCCTCAGACTGTGAGCCAGAATAAACCTTCTTCCCTTAAGATGGTCTTATCAGGTATTTAACTAAGACACAGGGTTTTCTCTTTTCTATCAATAAGTCAATAAAAACAAAACAGCAATGATTAAGAACGATCTTGAGGTCAAAGCCAAGGAATGTACAGTTTGAATGAAAGTGATTGCACCTTCAACTCCAGTTAAGTTCCATGCTACAATCTGGGCGCTGGTGGCGCATTCCTTTAATCCCAGCACTTGGGAGCCAGAAGCAGGTGGATCTCTGAGTTCCAGGCCAGCCAGGGCTACACAGAAAAAGTCTCAGAAAACAAACAAAAGAAGTAAAATGAGTCAGATGTTACTGGCACACATACATTTTTTTAAAAAATGGGGCTGGAGGGATGGTTACTGCCAGGATCCAACCCCCCTCCCCCATTTACAGACAGGCCAAACACCCATGCACATAAAATTAAAAAAAAATTAAAAATCCATGTTACACTTTCTACACCATGTAGAAATGATCCAGTTACTAAGGTGGCCAAGGGTGCAGGAATCAGAAAGGCTCTGGAATCAGACCTTAGTCTCAATGCTTGCTCTCCAACTAACCAAATGGATGGAACAGTGGTGTCTTCATGCCCCCTCATCCATAATACAGGAATAATATCTTATGGAATTAGGATAGATTTCCATCCTAGTTTTGTTTCGTAATAAATTACCCTGATAAAAAGTAACTTAGGGGAAAAAGAGTTGATCTTAGCTCACTCTCCAGGTTACACAGTCCATTACTGTGAGGTCACGGCAGGAACCTGAAACAGCTAGTAGCATTTGTAACCAGGACCAAAGAGAATGAATGTACACATGCCTCTTGTGCTCTGCTGGCTTTCCCTACACATATGCAGTCTAGGAACTAACCCCAGAGAATGATGCCATCCACAGTGGACAGACTTTGTCACCTCAATGAATGTGATCAAGACAAATTCCCAGCGACATGCTGCAGCCTAATCCAAATCCAGACAAATCCTTCATGACAATTTTAGACTGCCAAATTGATAATGAAATCTAACCACCACAATGTCAAATGTGAAACGTTAAAAGGTAGCTCAGCTCAACAAACTGAATTAAGAAAATTAGATGGAGCCAGATGTAGTGGACCACACCTTTAATCCCAGCACTCGGGAGGCAGAAGCACGCAGTTCTGTTAGTTTGGGGCCAGCCTGGTCTATATAGTGAGTTCCTCAGGAGCCAGATCATTCTTCTGGTCTGGTCTAGCTTCTTCCCTGACTTGACTTTCAAAAGAAGCTTGAAACAGTTGTGTATGGCTATAATGGCAGACTCCCATTAGACTAGTGCTTACTGGCCTACTAGTCTCTGACGGTCTTAATGCAGAACTTCTCTGGGGAAACTCACTCTATTCCCCTATTTCTAGTCAAAACCTTTCTTACTGCGCATGAAATGTGCACCAAAGAGAATTAGGTATCATGCCTTCTGCAAACTCAAAGGGCATGTGATTATCCCTCTCTGATACTCTTCTGGAGTCTGTATCATGAGAAAACAAATGTGTTAATTGCCAAGTGGTGTCTCTATCAGTTAATTGATGTGATAAAACACCATGACCAAGACAAGAGTTTATTTGGGGTTTACAGCTCCAGAGGGTTAAAATCCACAATGGCAGAGTGAAGGTAGCACGCGGCAGGCAGGAGCAGCAGCTGAGCTCACATCTTGATCTGCAAACAGGAAACAAGAGAGAGCTAATTCAAAATGGTATCAATCTTTTGAAACTTCAAAGTCCATTCCCAGTGCTATACCTCTTCAAGGAAGGTCACACCTCAAAACCCTCCAGAGATAGTCACCAACTATGGACCAAGTATTCAAATGCCTTCAACTTATGAGGGACATCTCATTGAAACCACCACATTCCACTCCCTGGAACACAGGCTTATGGCCATATCATAATGCAAAATGCATTTAGTCAAACCTCAAAGTCTCCATAGTCTTCCAGTCTCAATACACTTTAATAGTCCAAAGTTTCTGAGACTCAAAGCAATCTTTTTACTGGAACCTCCTGTAAAATCAAAAGCAAATTATATACTTCCAACATACAACGGCATAGAATATATATTACCATTCCAAAAATGAGGAATCAGAGCATAGTGAGGAAGCACTGCACCAAAACAAGGTCAAAACACAGCTAGACAAACCTCCAAATCCTGGAGTTCCATGTCTGATGTCAAAGGACTTATATGGCTTTGCTGCCTATAAGATGGATCTCTCTGCTCAGGGTGGGTTCCAATTTTTGTATGATGTTCTCCTTGGCAGATATCCCATGGCTCTGGCACCTCTAATGTCTTGTGGTCATCAGTGCAAACACAGACTTTACTTCTACATGAGCCCAGTGGCTCTCCTTAACTGTGGAGGAAGATTCCATAACCCATTTTCTTGTGTATCCTTCATGACTCTGAAGCCAGAACTGGATGGCTGATACTGTCAAGGTTCGGTTAGCAACTTGGCATGAATCCTGGTCCCTTGAGTCATATTTATAAAGAGTTTTTGTTAATTCCTTAGGTCTTCCTTTCACAAGTTGAAGTTCAGCTGAGTGGGGTCTCACCCTGCAGGCAGCCTTCTGTCCATTCAAATGCAGATTTGGCCACCTTTAACAGTTTTGATCTTCCAGCACAAGCCTCGACTGTAACATTAGCCTTGCCAGTATCCTCTTCCTCTCCAAACTCTACACTTTGTATTTCTTTCTGCCCTATTTGCTCTTCACTGTAGACCTGCAAAAATGATAATTCCTAATAACCATAAAACAGAGTTAGTATTAGGCTGTCTTGAAATCTCCTCTGTCAATGACATTAGACAACTACTTAACTTTAACCTCAAGTAAGTTCTTAGGAAAAGGGCAGAAAGCAACCATAGTCTTTGTCAAATACTGTAAGAATGGTTTCCAGCTCAGCTGATTATATTGTTCCCCTCTGAAAACTCTTTTGAGGTAGGCCACTACAGTCCACGCTGCTTTCAGCACTTTCTTGCAAGCTCCTACTAGAACGGACCATTAAGCTCTGTTTACAGCATTCAATGGTTTTTCTCTTCCATAGTTCCAAAGCCTTCTACATTGCTCCCCAAACCACATGGTCAAGTCTATCATAGTAATATCCCACTCCTGGTACCAACTTCTATATTCGTTACTTTTCTATTTCTGTGATAAAACACCATGATCAAGGCAACTTATAGGAGGTTTACTTTGGGCTTACGGTTTTAGAGGGTTGGAGTCCATGATGGCAGCATGAGGACAGCAGGTGGCAGACATGAGTGGCAGCTGAAAGCTGCACATCTTGAACCAGAGCAGGAAACAGGTGATAACTCAACATGGCAGGAGTCTTTGAAACCTAAAAGCTCACCTGCAATACTATACTTCCAGCAAGGTCACACTTCTTAAACTTACACAAACAACCACCAACTGCAGATCAAGTATTTAAATGCCCCAGACTTTTGGGTGAGATTGACACATTACATCTCCCAGAAAAGCTCCTTAAAACAGAAAGTAAATAACTCAAAATAGCTTCAGGAAGTCCTGACATTAACCACATTTACTAGTCCCTTCCATCCCAGGCATAAAGTTGGTTGAGTATCATTCTCAGATGAGCCAAGCTGCTTGGAAGGGCCTTAGACCAACTGAGGTATCTCATAAGGACACTCTCTAACCTGTTGAGTTTTCCAGCTTTTGTGAGCTGTCGTTCATGCTGGGTAGGCTTTGGTGATACATCTGTCTTTGAATCATCTCTCGTCCTGTAAGTAACCCCAATAAAACTCATTGGTTTACCAAGTTGGACTTCAATGGCATCCATATTTTGGTTTGCCATGAGCTCCCTATTTATGGTGTTTAGACATGTGGATGTTATGTCTTCCCAGGAAAATTATCATACAATAACTGGTCTTGAAAAATGAATGAGAGGACTGGTAAAACAGAGGGCTGCTGGGCTCAGCAGCTAATGTGTTTACTGTACCAGCCCGACAGAATGAGTTCAATCTCTAGAATCCATGAAAGGTAGAAGATAACGGATTCTCCAAAGTTGTCCTCTGACTTATATATGTGCTATGCAGTGCCCTTGCATACATACATCACACATATATGAAATAATATATTTTTTAATGTGGGAGAAATAAATGAAGAAAGCAGAGGTAGTTAAGTTCATTACCCAGACCTATCTTATAGGAAATGCAGAAGGGAATTCTTCAAGTTGTAAAGAAAAGATACTAATCATAATCTCAAAGCCATATAAGAATATAAGTTTTCCTATAATAATAAACACACAAATAGAAAAGCTGCCATCATTGTAATTTTGGTTCACAATTCTTTTTATTCTTTAACAGTATTTAAAATAGAAAAGCATAAAAAGTTATAAACTTGTTATTGGACACACATTATATGCTATTTGTGACATTGATAATGTAAAAAAGAGGGCTAGAACTATAAAGAGAAGAAGCTTTGCATGTGATTAAGCTATTAGTTTTAAATAGACTGCTGTAACTTTAGGATGTTTCACGTAAACCTCATAAAAATCACATATACAATATATACAGAAGAAATGAAAGCAAATCAAACAAGACATTTAAACTACACAAAAAGAAGTAAAAGAAGAAATGAAGGACAAAAAACTGGAAGACCTAGAGAAAAACAAAATGGCAACAGTGAGCCCTTTCCTTTAACAGTTATAGTAGTTACTTTGCCAATGGATTTAATTACCACATAGAAGATACAGCTTAGAAGAATAAATTTAAAACCTAAGGTTCAATTATATATTTTATATAAGAGACCCACTTTAGAAGTAAACTCACTACATTGATAGAATGAAAAACATGTCCTGTTCAACTGCAGTAACCCAAAGAGGGAAGTAGCACAGAGAAAACAGAAAAAAAGGACTTCATTCAAACCTATTTTAAGAGACAAAGGCAATTACATAATGAAATAAGGATATTTATATCACCAATTAGACACAGCAATTATCAACAAAGATATGCCAACTAAAATTGCTAAGTATATGACGGATGGGAGAAACAAGACTGTTCAAAGGGTACAGATAGAATAGTAAGTACAGCAGATCAACAAGGAAAAGCATCACTTGAAAACCACCACAGAATATTTGGACCTCAAAACGTATATACAGAACATACTACCCAATAAGCAGAAAATACATTTTTCTCAAAGGCATATGGAACACTTTCTCAGATACATCAGTGCCACAGAGCCTTAACACATTAAGGAAAACTACAAAACTCACAAATGTGTAAAATAAATAGGACCCCTCCCTGAGACAGAGTTTCTCTGTGTAGCCCTGGCTGTCCTGGAACTCGCTCTGTAGATCAGGCTGACCACAAACTCATAGAAATCTGCCTGCCTCTGCCTCCCTAGTGCTGCAATTAAAGGTGTGCGCCACCACTGCCCAGCTAAATAAGATATTTTTAAACAACTGATAGTTGAAAGAGGAAATCACAAGGGAAATTAAAACACTGCCTGAAACAAACAAAAACCACCACAAAATACCAGAAGTGTTGGGATACAACAGAAGCAAGGCTGAAACAGCTATGCAACACAGGTCTCAAAGCCAAACTTTATTCTTCAAGGAACAAGGAAAAGAGCAAGCAGGAAAACTGATCAGAGTCGTGGAAAAATAAAACAATCAAGAATTGGTCTTTTAAATCTCAAAACTGACAAACTTTTAGCTAGACTGGCTATGAAAGGGGGAAAAAAAGCTCAACTAACTAAAATTAGAAACCAAAATGGGGACACTGGGCTGGAGAGATGGTTTGTTTAGTAGATTAAGTGAGTTCAGATGCCCAGAAAAAGCCAGGCAGGTATGTAACTAGCTCTCTATAATCTCAGGATTTGAGAAGCAGAGAATGGGGAGGGGACCCCTTGGGCAATGTGACTAACTGGTTTACCAGTTAGGGGCTCTGTATTCAATAAAGTTGAGATAAAAGAAGAGACTTTATGTTAACTTCAGCCCCCTGTCCCCTGTACATATATGTGCACACACTTGCACACATGTGAATACACATACACACAGTGATATACCTTTAAAAGGAGTGGGGACATCATGGCAGGTTTCCCAGAGTGAAAAGTGCAAAACATTATAAACTATCTCATCAATATATCCATTGGATAATAGATAAAAGAGAAAACCCACCAACTTTGATTCATGACGAAATATCAATCTAAATAGGCAGTCCTCTAATCACGTCTACTATTAAAACCTTCCCAGCAAAGGAAACCCCAGGACCATGTGGCTATAACAGTACATTCTACCAACCGTCTAAAGAAAACGCCAGGTCCATGTGGCTATAACAGTACATTCTACCAACCATCTAAAGAACAGTATTTTCTTTTTTCTAATTGAGACAGGTTCTCTCTGTAGAGCCTTAGGTGACCAGGTTTACCTTGAACTCAGAGATCCTCCTGCCCCTGCCTCCCAAGTGTTGGGATTAAAGGCATGCACCAGGCCTGGCCAAATTAAAATTAATTTTGACAAATTACTCTGAAAACTTATAAAGGAGGACACACTTCCAAAATATGAAGCCAGCATTACCCTGAAATCAAAACCAAACAGGTGGGATAATAAAACTATAGGTCACAGTGTTACAAAAATTCTTCAAAACAAAACCAAACCATAACAAACAACAAAAAGCCCAACATGGGCCAATGAGAGAACTCAGCTGCCAAGCCTGGCAACCTGCGTTTGATCTTCAGAACCCAGATGGTAGAATGAAAACTGACTTAAGTTATCCTCTGATACACAATCATACACACACAAAAATGTAAAATTAAAAAGTACTAGCAAACAGAATTCAATAAAACATAAAAGGATTTTGCAGGGTTGGAGAGATGGCTCAGTGGTTAAGCACACTGGCTGCTCTTGCAGAGAATCCCAGGTTTAGGTCCCAGCACCTGCATGGAAGTTGACAACCATTTTATTAACTCTAGTACCAAGGGCTCCAATGCCCTCTAATGGTCTCTACGGGCACCAGGCACACATGTGGTACACACTCATATGTACATGAAGTAATAAATATTCACACATATGAAATAAAAATAAAGCTTTTTCAAAAAGTATAGCTTTTTTTCATGATCAAGAAGGATTTACTGACATTATTTTAGGATGATTTAGCAAAACAATAACAACATAAATCTATGATGGGTTGGGGAGACAGCTCAGCTGGTAAAAGTAGATTGCTTTGCAAGCAGGAGGACATGCATTTGAAGCCCAGAACCTATGAAAAGTCATGCGTGATGGTGTACATTTATAATCCAAACAATAGAGGTACAGACAGGTGGATGCCTAGGCCTTACTAGTCAGCCAAGCCTATTTGGAGTTCCAGGACAGTGAGAGACCCTGACTCAAAAGACAAGATGGATCCTCAGGGTTGTCCCCTGACCTCCACACCTCTGTGCACATGTGTACCAACAGGTGCTCATGCATATGTTTATATGTATAATTGAAAACACACACCAAACATATACAACAGTTAAATACACAATATCAAGATGAAGAAAAAACATGATTTCAAATGATATAGAAAAAGCACTTCACAAAATTCAATAGCCTGCCATCATAAAAACTCAGTAAATTAAAAGTAGACAGAAAGCCAACAAAAGTCATATATGAAAAGCCCACATTATATTTAGTGAATAAAGACAAAGCCTTTTCTTTAAACCCCAAAAGACAAAGATGCCCATTTTCATCACTAGTATTCAACAGACTACTAGAATTCTAACAATAAGGCAAGAAGAGGAAGTGAGAGGTATCCAAAAAGAAAGGAGGAGCTCATGCTAACGAACAATGATCTTTAAATGGAAATTAAGAAAATAATTCAGTTTATAATAACATCACAAAGAATTAAAAACACTTAGGAATAATTCAACCAAGGACTCTAAATGGAAAGGTATTTTCTGCTTAAGGACCAGAATACTTATAATTGTTAAAACTCAGTCCTACCTCAAATGGCAGATTTAACACAATCAGTTAAAAATCCATTGATGGCTACAAACAGAAAAATTATCCTAGAATTCATATAAAACCTTAAGGAACCCCAGAAAACCAGAATAAAATTGAATAGAAAAGTGGAGGGGACTAGAAAGACGGTTCTTTGGGTAAAAGTTTGCAGCGCAAGTCTGATGACTACAGAACACAGGCAGAACCACCACTCCCAAAAGTTGTCCTGTGACTTCCACATGCAGCTGCACATATTCATATACAATTTTCCCCTTAATTTCAAGGAACCTCAGACAACCAAAACAATACTGAGAAGTGTATAGATCATATTACTTCAGAATTTACTATAAATATAAAGCTCCAGTAGTCAAAACAGTATCAAGGATTTAGAAAAGATAAAACCAAAGGAATGAAGCAAAATATGGAAATAAACCCTCATACACAGTCAAATCAATTCTGAGAAGGGATCCAAGACCATCAATGAGGGACAGTCTTCAACAAATGATGTAATAATAAAAGCAGACCTTTTTATAACATAAAATTATCTCAAAAATGGATCATAGGTTTTTTCACATAGCCCTTACATAAAGCTATGTAACTCATTTGGTGATACCAACAGCACAGGAAATAAGCTACACCAAAATTAAAATTACTTTTGTACCAAAGAATAAGATCAATAGAGTCAAAAGAATGTGAGACTATTCATAAATCATGCATCTGATAAGGCATTTATACCCGTACATATAAACAGGCTGATGATATGTACAGTGGTCAAAGTGGTTGCCACAAGTCTTAAAACCTGTTTCATCCTTAGAATCCATGTAAAAGTAGAAGGCAAGAACTCCATAAAATTATGATTTTCTATATGCCTACCATGGTATATGTTCCCCCACCCACAATAAATTTAAAAGTGGGTTCCTGGAATAGTCTAAAGCAGAATGAAGTTGTCAAGAGCTGGTGGAAGGAGTTAAGGGTTTTGTTTGTTCTTAGGCAGGGTCTATGCAGTCTTAACTGTCCTGGAGCTCACTAAAATGGCTTTGAACTCAAGAGATGCTTCTGCCTTTGCCTCCTTAACACTGGGATTAAAGGTGTGCACTACCATGTCCAGCCTACAGCTAAATTTTCTTAAGATGATGTCTAGAGGTTTTCACAACAATGTGAACTCAGTTAATGCACCTAAACTGTACAGTTAAAAGTGAAGATACAACTTTTTTTTTTTGCCAAAATGAAAATATTTTACAAAAAAACCTGAGTGACTATGCAACATTCCATCTAAGAGGTCAAAGTTAACATGGCCAACCGTGAGACAAACTGTCTCAAGTGGCTGATAAATGATAAAGGCCAGGTGTCTGTGGCGCTAGGGATGGAATCCAAGCTTAATGCACGCCAAGCCTGCACTAACACAGCTACATTATCCAGCCACTAAAACTATCTTAAGAGAAATATGCGTAGATATGTGGATTTAAGAGAAAAGCTTGCCCATAAAGCTACACACATGGGCTGCAATAGAAATCATATATATAAAATATAATGAAAAGTAGCATGATTGAAATTGTTGAAGAGTATATGGGAGCTAATTTCAGTATTCGAAGAGTCAGTAACTAGGAATTAAAAAGGCAATGGGTCAGGCTTGGGATGCCCCTATAAAGATACACAACAAAGATAATTTATAAAGAAACTTACTATTTTCTCTTTTAAATAGTGTAGACCCTCCCATCCCCTTGAACTCCAGGGTATAGTTTTATCATTTGCTTGCTATATTTACCTTGCATAACACAGAGCTAAGTGGAGCTCACCCTAAGACACCAAAATCCGAACAACTCTTAAAAACTTGCTTTTCATGTTCATAACTGTTTTGTGGTTGATTATAAGCTCTTTATCACCTTTAGTTAGTGGAATCAAACAATGGAAGGGGTGGTCTGCTTCCACCTAGTGCCGAGCTGCTGTGAGGTCTTCCTGCTTCACAATCCACCTGCTCTGTGTGCAGAGAGTACTCATGGGCTTTCACAGGCTTTTTTCACATTTTAATTTTCCAAGACAAGGTCTCTCTCTGTGTGTGTAGCCCTGGCTGTCCTGGAACTCGCTCTGTAGACCACACTGGCCTTGAACTTAGAGATTCACGTGCCCGGTTTTAAGATTTTTACTTTTTTTTTTTGGTTGTGAGTCTAGTCTTTAAAGGCTGAGCCATGTGTGTGAAGGTGCAGAAGCCAGGAGAGGGTGTTAGATCCCCTAGTACTGGAATTACAGGCAATTGTGAGCTGCCCAACAAGGGTGTTGAGAATGGGTTCTCTTCAAGAATGGCAAGTGCTCTTTACCACTGAGTCTTTTCTTCCAGCCCCTTTTTATTGGTGGTGGGGTTTCAAGACAGGGTTTCTCTGTATAGTCCTGGCTGTCCTGGAACTCTCTACGTAGACCAGGCTGGCCTTGAACTCACAGAGATCCACCTGCCTCTGCCTCCCAGTGCTGGGATTAAAGGCGTGTGCCACCACACCCGGCTTTAGAGTTTCTTACAGAGTGTTTTTTAGTCCATAAGGTCCATGTTCCTTTAACTGTCCAAAGTCCACTGTGGCGAATAATACTCTATTTTTAAAAAAATCAAGGTCTCAGTTTGTATTAGAAAAGGATTTTTTGTAATTAATGGTTAACTGATAAAACTTTCTTGATCTACAGAAACTCTTAGGATTTTCAAGAATTCTCAAAATTGAACAAGAAATTATAAACTATGTTTCTCTTTTCTATTTGTCCAACTGTTATATGTAAGCGAGTAACTTTCAAGTAATCTGTATTTCCCTTAAGAGTTTCTTAATCTTTTCTTTCTACAGATTAATTCCCCAGATTAAAAAAAAAAATCCCTAACAAGAGAAACAAAAAGTTTGTTGCATTTCAACCCCAACTGGGGATACCATATTTATTTGAATAGGGTCTTGCTAAGTATCAGAGAGTTGGGGAACTCCCAATACGCCTATCTTCACTTGCTGAGTGCTGAGATTATAGACATACACAGTAGTATATAATTCAATTCTGATTCCAAATGCTCAGGGTGAGTGTAAGAATCAAGCTTCCTCCACAAGACTGTCCTGACTTCAGACATGGACTGCAAGTGCTCAATCTTCAGACCATCAACATTCCAGGTTGGCTATAAAGTGGAGAGTTCTCAAGAACTTCTTGGTTTAAAAGTTTGCTGAACGACTCACAGAACTGAGAAAAATACTGTCTTTAAATAAAACATTATAGTTATGAATAGTCGTATTAGAAAAGATACAAATGGGGCCAAACAGGCCAATGAAACTTCAGCAGTGGTCTAGGGTAATGCAGAGCTTCTGTGCCCTTGTTCTCCTGGCACATCAACACGGTTTGCAGTGTCCAGAGCATTTAAGAGTCTTGCCATACATGGCACCTGTCTTGTCCAGAGTTCTTTACCAGGGCCTCACTACCAAGGTATGATTTATTAATTAAGCAGGCAATGTGATTAGCCCAAACGTATTTCTGGTGACCAGCCTCTCACCCTAGAGCCTGCGATGAGCCCAATCAAGAGTATAAGAAAGATACTTCAAGAATCCTAAGGGTTTGAGATATTCCTTGTTGGGAGCCAGGGAAAAGGTCCAAATTCCTCATTATATGACACGAAGTAGTAAAAAGAACTGTTTTTGTCTTCACAGAAAATAATCTCTAAGACAATGATGAGACAACCCCCCAAAACCAGAACGAAATTTTATTACATACAGTTTATAGAAGCAAGAGTAGTACTCATCTGTACAAAGCAGACAACTGGTCTTAAATACAACGGAGAGAAATGTCAGTCCTACAACAAGTGATACAAGTCGAACCATTAGAGACACATTAAAACATTTAAAAGTATCTTCTTTCTCCATAGTCCATTGTGCATTTTTTAGAGATGGGGACACGTCCCAGGCAAGGTCACAATGGCATTTTATTGCCCTCGATGCTGATTTTCACTGCATGAGCAGATCTGCTTTTTTTCCTGATATCTGTGAACTTTCTCATCTGTTTATCCAGTCGACTGATACCTTTCTTGGAGGATGCCTGAAACTAAGATTAGGGAAAATTGAAGAACAAATTATTGAAATATGTAAATCTAGCAGCAGTCAGAAGAGTTCGAAGCTTAATAACCAGAACATACTTTGGTGACGTCAAGGACAGAGCAAGTGTTAGAAGAAAACACTACCAACCTCTCAGTGACAACAAATGGTTATTGTCTGTGCTTTAATTTTAATTTTGCTACAGTCCACAGAAACTTCCTAGACGACAGAGGGGGAAATAAACTAGTCTTCCCAATTTCATCCCTGACAACTGACTATTTGGGACTAACTACTTGACATGCGATTTCAAACAGTGTTGGTACTAAAAAACACAAAACAAAGAAAAGCTGTTAGAGAAAAACTAAACATAACCAACACAGGCAAATCCTGAGGTGCTGAAGTTCTAGATTCAGCCTTGGGGTGAGTCTCTACTCTGCTTCAGCAGGATCCAGAATTCTATGCACACTATACCTGGTGGTCACTACTACTACCAGAACACCTCTCACTTGCTTTTATAGTTAAAGGCTCAATTGGGTTTTCTGTTGTTGTTTTGCTTTGTTAAAAATAAATATTTTAAAAATATTTTGAATAATGCATATCTTACAAAGATGTGGTTCCCAAAGAACTGACAGCTTTTGTAGCATCTGAATGCTTGGTTACCAGGAAGTGAAACTGTTTCATAGGATTATACAGATTAGGAGATGTGGCCTTATTGGAGGAAGTGTGTTACTTTAGGTGGGTTTTGAGGTTTCAAAAGCCCATGTGAGGCCAAGTTTCTTTTTCTTTGCCCATGGATCAGGATATAACTCCCAGCTATGCTCCAGTGCCATGAATGATACCATGCCTCTGTGATGTTGATAATGGACTACCCTTCTGAAACTGTAATCAAGCCCCTAATTAATTGCCTTCTTTTACAAGAGTTAGCTGGGTCATGGTGTCTTTTTACAGCAATAGAACAGCGACCAAGACAGTGAGTGACCCTCCTTGCTGGCTACATTGCTATGTAGGTTGCAGTGGGGTTCAGGGCAGTGGGGAAAAGAGGAGAAATAGTCGTCAATGGTATTATCCAGCAGTAAACACTGAATGCTATAATACTGACTTGACAAGATGTGTGCATTGGAATAATATTGGCAAGTCTATTACATAGGTTAAGAAATCACTTTCTCAGTCTATTTGAGTTTTGGTCTACAGGAGAGAATTCATGACTGGTACTGTAAACCTGACCAAAATCCACTGCTTGGGAGGCCATGAGCCCTAGGACAGGAATCTACTACTGCTGTGCTGCAACACTGTCATGCTGTCAAAGTGCCTTCAAACATCTGTGGTTATATTCATGACATTAGTCGTGCACTCTGTCTTGGTCAGAAGCTTCTTTCTACAGTGAGTGGGGCAGCAGCTAATGTAGTGATTCATAATTATCATCAAAATGCTGAAAATAAATGACTGTTCAGATGTCAGCCATAAATGGGAGGAGCTGTATCAACACCCCCAGGCTCAGGGAACACAGAGGAAGAGGGGATGGAAAGAATGTAAGAGCCAAAGGATGGGGAGGAATGCTGTGAAACGCTACCTTTTGTACATAAGACGGGTGTTGTACACATGAGCTATTGCAGCTATGGGTACCTGCCCAAGGTTAAGCCAACAAGATTGGTCAGTATTCCAGCAGACAGTATAAACTGGTCTCAATGAATTACAAAAACTACATAAAAATAAGGGATAGTGAGATGGCTCAGTGGGTAAAGGCACTTTCTGCCAAGCCTGATGACCTGAGTTTGATTCCCAGAACCTATGTAGTAGAGTACTCTGACATTCATAGGTATACTGCGACACACACACACACATACAAGCACATGGACAAACACAAGTAAATTAAAAAATTAAAACCAAAAAACTACATAAGGAGAAGAGATGAAGGTTGGAAGGTATAGGGCTATCCCAAAGGATAAGGGAGGGGATGTTGGAGGGTGGGTGATAGGAAGATACACTGTATACATGAATGAAATTGGCAAAAAATAAACAAGATATTTAAAAAAACAGTAAATGATTAGAGAGACAGGTGTTTTTCTTTTACTTCTCCCCAAATATTTACTATTAAATCACTTTCAAAGCTATTGTCTCAAAAACACTAAAGAAGATAAGCTGGAGACTGTCCTGAAGTTGTGCACTGTGAGCCTTCTTAGTCCATTCATGGACTCAGCCTCACCCTATTATGAAGCTATTAGCCAAGGAACAAGTTTTCTAGGGCAATCTGAAGTTTTCTAGGAATATCCCAATTCTAAACATTATTCAATACTTGGCACTGGTACTCTCAGCACAAAAATTTACTGTCAAATGAGAACAAGCTGTATTACCAGCAACACATCTCCTAGCCTTCCTTTCATTTTTGTACAAGGAGTTGGTGGAGGTCTTACTGCTCAAATCCCTGACAACCACCTGACTCCCTGAAGCTTTTCATACCAAGCTGGACTTCTCTTTGCTCATTCCCAGGATCTTCTCTAACAGTCTGCACCCTACAGGATCTGTTTGGCATCAGCACCAGGAACACAGCCAGCCTAGTGCCAGACTACTCCTGAGCATTGCATATATGTGGCCTGCAAGGTGCTCAATGAACTAAGTTTCATCACAGACATCCAGTACCTAAACATGTCAAATCCAATGATCTTCATTTCCCAATCCATCAATTCTGCTACATTCCTTTGGACATTAGGAAAGCCATAATGTTTTATCAAGAAAGAGAAAAAAAACTGTAGGAGACTAGCAAAGAACATTTGCTAACAAAACAAAACAAGGGGTGAGGTACAAATGAGAACATATTAAACTACAAAGAATGGGAGTCAAATGAAATTTTGCCATGTTAAGTTAGAACCAAACCTTCAAAACTCAAGTTATAAGAGCATGATCACACTGCAAACTGAAAATATTTTAAAAAGTTAATGTTCATGCATGCATAAAAAAGAATAAAAAGCTATACTCCAAAATGTTACTGTCAACTTACAGCAGAGTACAAGTTATATTACTTTTACCTGTAATGCCTGTATGTAAAACTTTATACAAAAGAGAGGCGTTGCCTCCACTTTACTTTTTTATTTTTTAAAGTCCCAGCATTCAGAGGCAGATAAATCTGTGAGTTTGAGGCCAGTGTGCTCTGCAGAGCAAATTTTGGGTCAGCTGAAATTTTGTCTCTCAAAATAGTTTTAAAATTCAGAAATAAACAAATTAGTATATATTCACATAAATCACTAAGACCATTACACTTAAAAACAATAAATCTCCAATGTGGATTAACGAGGAGAAACGAAGAAAATGACATGCCCCTCTGGCTGACAGAGCTACATTTTGGCAATCTCTATAAATATCAACAAATTACAACTAGAAAGTCAGGAAGGGAGCTCTCCCTTCCACTGGGAAAAATGATAGCTATCTCCTACCCGAGGGTATATATGGGATCCTAGCCAGCAACAACAGCAGATGGGCACACAGCCCCTAGAAACATGGAGTATGCTTCTGGAGCAGACTGGACAACAAACTTTTATTACATTTTCATGGCTGCATTGTCATTTCCAATGTTCAAAAACAAAAGTACCAGGAAGGAAATATTAATATGATAAGGTGGCTAAAACGAGGGATGATATAATAAGAAACTATAAAAAGAAACAGGTAATAAAGGAGTATTAAGAAGTGAACACTGATTTAGATATGGAACAAATTAGAAAAAAGGAAGTGCAGAAAGATGTCCTCTGCATAAAATGAACTCCTTTTATTTATTTTCAGTAGTTAACTGCACGATCACAGCAGTGTCGAGTAGCAGGAACGTGAGTGTACTGAGGGAAGCTGAGGAAGAAGCACAAGAGGAGCAACAGACACTGTAGCCAGCAGCAAAATGTTTTCCTGATCTCAGTGTCAGTGGCTTATGACCAGGTGATGAAGACCTGTTCAATAGACCTACATACCTAGTAAAAGGTTTTATGTAATATATTCTTGATAAACGCTACCATGTCATTGACTATATGAAAAAGCCACTTTCCGTTCACAAGCAAACCACTAAGCAGTTTGTACGACTGTAGTGCAGACTATAATTTTTGGGCCCAAATAAAAAAGTCTTTTTTTTCCAGCTAGGTACGCAAGCATCTCTAAGCTCAAGGCTAGTCTGGTTTACAGAGTGAGTTCCAGGACAGCCAAGACTACATAGAGAATCCCTGACTCAAAAAAACCAAAAAAATTTTTAAAAGGTTTTTTTTTTTTCCCCCCCCAAAAAAAAAAGGGTAATAAATCAAGAAAAACAAAATGTTTATTTGGAAAGTAATGATCTATTAGTCTCTAGGATACTGACATAGAAGGGGACCCCAGTACCAACTCCTAAGGATTCAGAGGCCTTATGTCTCAGGATGCTGGCCAGGATCACCTTGGCTGACTAAAAAAGCACACACTTGCTTCCACTCTGCTGGCAACTCAAGCCCATGCACAGCTCATGCTTCCTTGGGAATACCTCTTGTATACACACTCTGGCGGGGCGCCAGGACTACAGGGGCATTCTGTTGCCTTCAATGCTGAACTTGACAGCACGGTGCATTTTGCTGAGCCTCTTCTGTTCTGCAAACCGCCTCTTATGCTTTTCCAACCGACTTAGGCCCTTTTTAAGAATACCAGGCTAGAAAGAATGGTTTGATGGGAGAAAAAGATTACCAAGAAACAGCATTTGGGTAATGTCTTCATTGATGAGAGGGAAAGTGTCTATCCTGACAATTTCACTACAAATGAAGGGAAAGGGAGAGGGGGCTCTGAAAAAGCAGGTAAATTCTATTTCTCGTGACTCTTTACATAAATGAACAAATACCTGAGCGATCCCAAAATAGAACTTGTGAATCAAATAAGCCTAAACTGCTATAAACATCATTAAACACAAAGAAAGGAGAAACAATTCCAGTGGTCTTGCTCTTCCTCTGCTCACTCACCCTGGATGACTCCATTTCTACATTCCACTTGGGTCTGACGACATAGTCTTTGTTTGATGGCATTGGGACTCTAGCACGGGCGCAGAAGCCAGGATCTCCAGGTCTAAGAGCCCTAAAGAAGGAAAGAAAAACTGCTTGTTTAGCTGGCCACAGCAGAGCCTAAGTGAGATCTCACCCCTGTATTCCTAGACCCATTCCATTCAGCTGCAATGTTTCAAATCTTAACCAATAATGCCCTACCTCCCGTCATTCCATCATCAGACATACTGCTATAATGTGTGCGCTATCATTCAATGCCAATTCCCTCTTTATATGAATTCTTGCTTCTCGGCTTCAGATGTAACCATGCCTTGTACTTTCCAAGGCTAGTAGTTTCAAGAAAACTTTGCTTTAAAATTTATGTGTTTGAAGCATTTGCCTTCATATATACACATGTACTACTAGAAAAGGAAGCCAGGCCCCTTGGAACTGGAGTTACAATGTGAGCCACAACGTGAGAGCTGGCAAATGAATGTAAGTTTTCTGTAATAACAGCAAGTGCTCTTGAGCCAGTCTCTCCAACTCAAAGAATACTCTGAATCCTAAATTCTCTAACTAGTCCAAAGAGTCACTAGGAGATGAGGGAAAATTAGGTTGTCAAAGTAATCCTCCATTCTTGGAGAAAACTTGTGAGGTAACTACAAATTCCCTAGCAGTAACAGAGATCCCAGTATCTCTCTCATTAGTAACAACTTTCAGAGCTGTAGCTATCACAGTGAGGGTATTGACTGATACAATCTATTTACCTTATCACAGAGGGTACTGACTGATACAATCTATTTACCTCATCGCCTTTACATTTCTCAGTTTACTTGTCTCACTTGTGCTTACATTTAGTTCTAGACAACGTTGAAAATAACCAAGCTACACTAAGGTCACAATTCTTCTGTTATTGTCTGGGCATTTAAACTAATTTTTTTTTTCAAAATAATTTTCATTTATGGCTAAGTACATTGCTGTCCTACCTGCATATCTGTGTGAGATCCCTGGAACAAGAGTTACAGACAGTTGTGAGCTGCCATGTGCGTGCTGGGACTTGAACCCAGATCCTCTGGAAGAGCAGCCAGTACTCCAACCACTGAGCCATCTCTCCAGACCCAAGCCACTCAATCTTTAGGAACTTCCCAAAGGATATGGGGAGAGCAGACGTCACCTTCTGGGAGTAGGGAGCAAACATCTACACTATCACCTCCAGGCTCTGTTCCAGTGTGTAGGAACACATCTCTACTGGCTCCTCAGCTACACTTTGCTGCCAAACTGGTTAGTTCATTTCTTAGACTGTAAATTGAACATTTTCCCCAACTATGGAGATAACCATCAAATCTGTGTCTAGTCTGACTCGACCCCATGGTGTTTCTAAGAGTATCTCATATTTCGCTCATAGTGAATAGCTTGAGAAGTAACTTATTACCACTTTCTTCAAGTCTACTTACTCATCCTTAGTTAGTGGATGGTAGTATCGCTGTCTACATACTGACTGGAATCTTCCATGGTAAGCCAACTTCTCCCTGAAAACAGGACTGCACGCATACGCACACATCTTGGTCTACCTCCCTGCATGAAGCTATACTTAACAGGGAAATTTTTAAGTTTCTTTTGTATGCTTTAAGCTTTAAACTTAAAAAGGAATCTACCACTTAGCAAGCACCAACCAAATACTTATCAAATGAACTATTTTCTTAATTTTTCAGAGCACCCAATACATTGTTTTGTAATTACTCAATAAACAAATTGAAAAAAATTACCCTTTGTCAATGGGAACACATAACTTAATACTGTTCTTATAATAAAGTGAAAAATAGGAATCCTCTATACATGCTAAGAAAAATCAAGACAAAACTCTTACTTTTCCTCTCCTGTCAGCACCTTCTCCAAGTCTCTTCGCGGTGTCTGACCACCAGTGCTGGGAAAAGAATAAACAGTGAGACATCTGGATCTTAAATTCTTACAACTAGGAAAAGCACATCAAAATATCAAATTTATACCATACTAAGTGCCTTTATATTGAATCATAGGAAGCACTTTTAAAAAACATTGTGTGTATGTGTGTGCGCGCGCATGAGGGTGTACAGTGGCAGTCAGAGGATAACTTTTCTTTCTTACTTAACTTGGGTTCTTGGGATCTGTCAGGTTGCCAGACTCTCACAGCAAGTGCCTTTACCTTCTGAGTCTTCTTGCTGGCCTGAGAACTTGTAATTCTTTTAAAGTTTGTTCACCTTAATATTCATTCATGCAGTATGTTTCATTCCCAGTGCTCTACAAAAGCTATACTCATTACCGATAACCCTGCCCTCCCAGGATGTATCCAGAATACTGATAGATTGAACCAATATTTTTTTCTCCTAGGGTTTTGAAACTGGTACTGAAAAACTTGTTTTTTGAAAATGGCTAAACTACTACAATCTCTAGCACTCCAGCACTGTGAGGGAGCACACTGTATTCAGCTGTCCCAGAAAGGTCTGCCCCATACACCGCTGCATTAAATTACACTTGTGCATCATACCTGTTCCCTCATACCTGCTCATTCTTCGCCGCTGAGGCATTTGTTCTAGATCTCTCTGCTCCCTTTCTTCTCTTGTCATTCCTTTATAGTTGGAGGTAAGTCCAAATATAGGCCGAGACCACTCATCTACAGTAAATTAATAATTTAGTCCATAAAATAGTATTTCTCCTGGGTTTTTAAATAATCACACCCTAGTATTGGGCAATATTATTTATAGAGTATTATATAGAGTATTCCTTTTTAAAATGTGGAACACAGGAAGAGTGAAAACAAACCTAGAGTTCATATCAGTATGTTCTTCAGTTAGGATCTAGATTTCTCTGGCATAAACAGGTAAGCATAAGAAAAGGTCTCAGAGGCTAACAACAGCATCAGTGGCTAACTTCCTTGACAGTAATGCTCTCTACATAGTCTCTCATTTAATCTTTATAATAACCCAAAGAAAACAATTATTAAAATCCCTTTATTACAGAGGTGGAGACCAAGCTTGAAGCTTAAGTCACTAGCTGAGTATTTGCAGGAAGGTGGTGGAGTCAACACTATGAACTAACTAGACATAGCTAGTTATAGGGCCTCCATTCTACCCTCTCTCCACATTCTTGGTCCACAGCTAGAAGACGTATGCTTCTAATTGCTATAGTAAATACTGAAAAGCATATTTAAATGAACAAGAGCATTTTAAGTATATGAGAAAAAAGTAATTGTGCACAGGCACTAAAGTTCTTCTATTCCACTTTACTGAATCATTGTAAACCGATATTGGTAAAAATATAGCTTTTATATATGCACATCTTTCCCTCTATAGATATTAAACAAATAAAAAGCAAACTTTACATACTGATTAATTTCCCTGCCATATCCTTGTTGGACCTTGACTCCTTGGGGTGTTTATACAGATACATCACTGCTCGTCCAATCCCGCTATGCTTCAGGGTCTCCTGGCTTACACTAGGTAGCTGGGAAACAAAAAGACATACATGCATATGAATTACTTGGGAGTTAGGAGGCGTGCTAATTTACAGATCTCCAAGGCCTCATTTGTTCAGGTGAAAACTAATATAAAATTCTATTTTTAGGATCTAGGAAGACATAGAACATCCTTTGGGCTGACATCAAAAGTCAAGGTTTCAGTATTAATGAAATAGAGATATATAACAATGTGAGGAAATACCAATTACGCATACTTATGAAGATAGCAGTTCAGCTCAGGCCTTGAACCTAAGCCTGAATCTATGCACACCCACCAGCTAGCTGCATGACCTCTGATAAATCATTTAACTTGTCTTAGCGTCCTCATCTATAAAATGGAGGCATTACTCCTATCTTACAAGTTTATTGTGAGAGACAGATAAGCCAATACAGACACAGAGCACCTAACAGTGTTAGGCACAGAGGTTCTTCAGATGTTAAGCAGCTTATCTAAGGTGTCCTAATCATACAAAAAGGGACCCCAACTAGAGATTCCAATTCAAGTTTATAATCTCTAAATGTAACACACTTTCTACTTCAAGTGCCTCTTACATGCTCACTGCCAGACTGCTCTTCAAAGAAACCCATAGCTACACTAAGAACTCTTTCCTTGAAAACTGCCGTCAACCAAATTTTGTAAAGTTTTTCTTTTTATGCTCATTTTATTAGGTAAGATCTCTTTTCCCAAAATCCCCTTTTTGGCAGGCTGTAGCAGAACAAATTAATAAGTAAATGGTACAAAAATACAGGTCTTGACTATAGAAATCACATTAGATATTTATTAAATTACACATTATCTATGCTAACCTCTTGCAGAATCTTCAACAATTCTTCCCGAATCTTCAGTGCAGGCAAACTCCTATCTGGTAAAGGTGAAAGCCATTCTTTGATGGCAGACATCACACCACTGTCAATAAATGTTTCTTTAAGGTCCTGCCTGCAACAGTAATGATAATAACGATAAACACGATAATAATGCCAAGCCTATACCCTCTGATTTTACTTACATAGTAATGTTTAAAAAAACTGCTTTTATGGGGCTGGAAAGATGGCTCAGTGGTTAAGAGCATTGCCCGCTCTTCCAAAGGTCCTGAGTTCAATTCCCAACAACCACAACCATCTCTAATGAGGTCTGATGCCCTCTTTCTGGCCTGCAGGCACACATGTAGACAGAATATTAAATATATAATAAATAAATAATTTAAAACTGCTTTTAAAGAATTATTTATATACTCAATATTTATTCAACTCCTAGTTTTAAAAGCAGCATAAAAGCTTACACTCAAAGGTAACTCACTAAGATATGCAGGTTTAATGAATATATTAAAACTGGTATCAATGATAGTCAAAAAAATGAAGCCCAATTATTACAACTAAAACAAACAAACAAACAAACAAACAAACAAAAAAACCCAACCTATTTTTTTTTTTTTTGTTTCAGAGTGGGGAAAACAACTGTGCTATTCTCTCAGAAAACAAAAAAAATATAGTTTTCCTGAAGGGAGAACATATCTCAATAGAATACCAGTATTTAAACTCTGCTTTATGCAATGGAATAAATTAAAAAATGCAACATATCTATGTGAAATCTGCAAAATAACTTTGCCTGTCACAATGGAGAAAATAGTTTTCAAGATGGCTCCCTGGTATGCTAAGGCATTTCTTCAACTCCAAAACTAGGCTGTAACTTTATTCAATAAGAAAACAAAGCTGCTTCTGACTGTGAGTAAACTAATCCAAGAATTTCTCAACAAGGATTTAGGAAAAGCATCATTAAAGCAGAGCAATGACACTGATGTCCAAGTCAAATAAATCTGTACAACATGAGCTCCAAGCAACATCTCCCAAGATTTGCTGTTTCCTACTACCTTGGGAAAAATAGATGAAAATTTACAAGGTCTCAATTGTCTACAAAGAATAAAATTAGTAAATTTCCAGGTTTTCTTTAATATTACCAGTTTTCTGTTTGTAAAAAGCACTATGGTTTAAGAAAAATTTATGAGCCGGGCAGTGGTGGTGCACGCCTACCAGCCCTCAGAAGACAGAAGCAGGTGGCTCTCTGTGAGTCTGAAGCCAGCCTGGAAGTTCCAGGACAGCCAGGGCTACACAGTACTTACAATGTACTTCCTGTTTACTTAGGTAATATTATATTCTTCTAAAGTCTTTGATGGAATTGAAGAATAGTTTTCCTTAGTTATGATAAAAGATAGATATAAATATTATAACTGTAATTCTTGCTTGATAACTTTTGTTGTATGTAATTTTACTATGTTGAAGTTGAAGCCTTTTTTTTTTTTTGTTTTTTTGTTTTTTTGAGACAGGGTTTCTCTGTGGCTTTGGAGCCTGTCCTGGAACTAGCTCTGTAGACCAGGCTGGTCTCAAACTCCCAGAGATCCGCCTGCCTCTGCCTCCCTAGTGCTGGGATTAAAGGTTTGCGCCACCATCGCCCGGCTGAAGCCTTTCTTTGTTTAAACAAAAAAGGGGAAATGGTGTAGGAGATCCTTCTGTTTATGTATTGCTTTCATTGGTTAAATAAAAAAACTGCCTTGGCCTCCTGACAGGGCAAAACCTAGGTAGGCGGAGTAGACAGAACAGAACGCTGGGAAGGAGGAGAGAGAACCGCCATGGAGCTGCCAGAATCAGACATGCTAAATCTTTCCTGGTAAGCCACAACCTCATGGTGATATACAGATTAGCAGAAATAGGTTAAATCAAGATGTAAGAGTTAGCCAATAAGAGGCTAGAGCTAATGGGCCAGACAGTGTTTAAATGAATAGTTTCTGTGTGATTATTTCGGGTGGAAGCTATCTGGCCAGGCAGGATGGGACAACAAGCAGCCTGCTCCTCCTGTTACAGTGTAGCTCTAGCTGCCCAGGAACTCATTCTGTTGACCAGGCTGGTCTCAAACTCCCAGAGATCTGCCTGCCTCTGCCTCTAAATGCTGGGATTAAAGGATTACACTACCACTACCCACCTTGAATATCATTTTATTAGAAGGAATTTTTTTCCAGGAAAACAAAATACTCACTTTTTAAGGTGCATAACCACAGTAGGCAATAAGGTTAATTTTTTCAGTGCTGGCTTCTTTTGATTATTCAATTGCCTGTCTTCCTATTCAAAAAACAGAATACCCCCCCCAAAAAAAGGGTTTAAAAGCAATATTAACTTTTAATACACAATTATAACAACTACTATAATTCTGAACCTTAAGATAATTACTCAAAGAAAGTATAATTTTTCTGAAAGGAGGAGCTGTTTTACACAAAGCCAAACTCCTAATCTGTCCCATCAATCAAACCCACAGATATTGTTACATTCCTTTTTAACGATCAGAACTGAGAAACTTCATTTATAGTACTAAAAAGTTTTCTCAGCTTTTGGAATTCATTCAAGAAACAGTATATAGCTGTGAAAGTCTGGTTTATCTTCAAGAATTATCTTTCCATGAGCAAGGAAAGTATGGCTTATTACCAAAAATATTACTTGGGTAATTTCTACTTTTTTTAATTATAAAAAAATACTAAATTCTACAAATATACAATAGCATATCCAATGTACATTTCAACAAACACAGGGTTGTTCATTTAATTATACATCTACCTATTTTTCTTGACACACTCGAACTGTTTCAAATAAAGCCAAGACAGATCATCAAACCCCATGGACTATCTCAGCAAGGGGCTGGTGGTGAAGCTGAGTGATAGAGCATTTGCCTTTGGCTGCCAAGTGCCTGGGTTCAAAAGCATCTTTGCAAGTTCTCAAGGATCAGAATTAGTTTTTAAACACATTTGCCAATTTTCAATAATTCAATAGATATCTATCTATCTATTTCCAAATTAAAGGAATACATATTCCAGTACAATGAGTCAGCTACAATCTATTGACCAGGGGTAAAACAACAAATGACTTTTTAGCCTATTTTGTATTTAAGTAGACATCAACCTTGGTAGTGGACCAAGGTAGCTATGACAACAAACCTCCCATTCACTTAAAGATTCATTTTTACTTAACTTTTTTTTCTAACCAAAATAAGCTAAATTTTGAAAATTAAGATTTATAGGATTAAAATTTAGCAAGTCGATACTTTATCACAGAAAGCAACAAATCTTTTACAGCAGTCTAAAGTTAAACATTTAAGGAAAAAAGATACCACACTATCAATCTTGTGGGGAAAGAAGGCGGTAACTTAGAAGTGACATCCTACCTCAGCAGCTTCATTCATCTTTACAATCATGGCACTCACAACGTCATCTGCATCACTAATAAAAGTGCTCCCATCTCGATTTCGCCTACGTTTGCCACACATGTTCTTTTTTCGTTGTAACATCATCTCAAAATCCGACAGAAAGTCCATACTAGGCAGTAACACAAAAGTCAAGCTCTTTAATCATACACCTTCTTTAATTACAATTAAGAACATCAAATTGTCTAATCTTGAGTCAAAGAAGTGCTACTTTTGTTTTGTTTTGAAACAGGGTCTCTATACATAGCCCTGGCTGTCCTCGAACTCACAGAGATCCACCCTGCCTCTGCCTCCCGAGTGCTAGGATTAAAGGCGTGGGCCACCATGCTTGGCAAAGTGCTACTTTGTTGTATGAATTTAGCAGAGTTACTGTATCCAGAGTAGATATTAGAATGAACAGCTGTTCTTTAAAAGTACTTTGACCTTGAAGAATCCTCATGGAAAACTGCAATTGTTTTGCTTAAGGGGTATTGCAGCCACCCCAGGACTTCGATCTTATATTATTGTGTATTGCAAACGATACATAATAATGGGCTGGGGAGGGGGCAGGCAATGTGATGCTTTCCTTTAGGAAGACACATAAATTAGATTAGAGACCTTGGTATGAGGAAATACTTGTGTGTAACAATCAATAAATACACCTTTGTACAGCTGTTGGAGAGGAGTTCAGTCCATGAGAGAGGCTGGACTTTCTTGCTACCACATAGGCCTTAAAATTCATCTTGGGCATAGGACCAAACTAGATCCTCTGAATGTGGGTGACAGTTGTATGGCTGGGGCAGACTGCGGGGCTACTGGCAGTGGCACCAGGATTTTTGGGAACCCATTCTCTTTGCTCAGTTTAGATGTAGTAGGGAAGACCTTGGACCTTCCCCAAAGCAATGTGCCTTACCCTCTCTGAGGAGTGGATGGGGGTAGTGTGGGGGGTATGTGGAGGAACTGGGAAGAGGGGAGTGGGAACTGGGACTGGTATGTAAAATGAAAAAGATAGTCCGTTTTCTTTTTTAAAAAAATTCATCTTGGAATGCCTTTTCTTCAACCAACCTGAGCTACACGATACACCCCGACACTACTTTTTTTTTTTTAATTTATTTGTTTATTAAGCATACAATGTACTACTGGCAAGGAAGGCGCCAGGTCTCATTACAGATGGTTGTGAGCCACCATGTGGTTGCTGAGAATTGAACTCGGGACCTCTGGAAGAGCAGCCAGTGCTCTTACCCTCTGAGCCATCTCTCCAGCCCCCGACACTACTTTTTTAAAAAGCTCAAATACACACAACTTACTACCACAAGAGTGAACCTTACACTTCATATCCAATTCCTGTTCTGCACTACTGATAAATAGTAACACAAACTGGCCTAAGCTTTTCATATGCCACATTTACACCCGTCATCCATGAGGTTGAGAACAAACATTTCAAATCTTTGGTTAGGAGCACATTCAGTTGAGGTGAACTGCTTTTTTTAGAAATAGAAAATGTTCAATTATTTGAATGCTTTGTCTTATGAACCATGACTATGAAAAAAAGAATCAACTGCCACTTTTTAGTAATGAAGAACACAACTTAAAACAAAGTGAGCACACACATGCTAAGTGCCTGGCCTTTACAGCTATCATTACTTACACTCAAGAGGGTGTTATCTCATTCTGCCACATACTAATAAATTCAAATTTCTCAAAGAAGCACCTAAATTCTGCTTCTTAATTCTTGCACATCACTGAAAGCATAATCTTCACAACTGTGAACAGTGGTTATCACCTCATTCGTTCATGGCATCATCTTTTTCTGGACACAGTTCTCAATTATTTTAACAGAAGTTAAGTAGAGTATAATTAAGAAACATTTTTGTATTTACTTTAGATTTGCTTCCCCTGCCACCCAAAATGAACTTTTTTCCCTCAAAAATTTTTATATTAAGTTATTTTATGTTAAGTTATAAATTAGAAGTATCGTATAATCTATAATTTATGACATCTGAGCACAGAGCAAGTAACAGCGAACATCTCACTAACAGTATATTGAGGAGGTGAAGGAGAAATACGAAACATACTCGTCAAGTTTGGGAACCTAGATGAGAAACAGGAAAGCTCAACAGTCTCTACCTTCACCTTTCTCAGTTTGGTTGAACTTTCTTAAAACCAACACAAAAACACTCACTGCTTTCCTCTTTTGATGTTATCATCAGAGTCCGAGTCTTCAGCCTCTTTCAGTTGTGTTTCATTCTTCTCTTCCTCCAAATCCTCTTGGTTAAAACCCTAAAGGTACAGTGAGTTAAGCCCAGCTATCATAACCACCTTACAGATTTCCTTCTTCAAACAATTCCCGACTTCTCACATTAAATAATATAGCCACAAAGGACAAAGCGTATTGAACAGGTATCAAGAGTGGTACAGCAAAAGACCCCCCCTTGGCCACTGGTGTGGGAGTCTGCTTTGTTCCATGCTTTAGTCTTTCATCATACATATGTCAGCATACTATTCAGAGGGTAGGAGACACTGACCTGAATTTCCCAAATTCTCCAACCTGAAATCCTTTTATTCTTTGTAAGGCTTTGTACTAAGGCTTTGTACTATTTCGTTGTACTAGAGAACTGCTACCACAGAAATGAAACAATGCAATTAAAATAGTCCTATCAAACTTACTGTAAATTCCTCTTCCTCTTCATCACCAGATTCTCCAAATATATCTGCAATAAGATTTCTAGAAAACCAAATATAAAACCACCCATCAGCTTTCTTACACTTGCATACGTATCATTTTACAAACAAGGTATTTATGGACAGTAAAATGTGCAGACCTTAGGCACAAAGGTCAATGGGCTTTAACAAACATAAGCACTCATATAACCAGTGCCCTAAGCAAAGAAGCCTATTTCTCTAGATGCTTCCTCATAGCCTTTTCTCATGCAGCACTCAACCCACAGGTGAGGGCATTTTGTTTCATTTCCAACACTCCACTGACTGTGCCACATCCTCAACCCCTTACAGCCCTTTTAAATAAACTGTCCACCACCAAGACCCAGTGGTAATATGATCACTGACCCCAGCACCATAAATTTTGCAAGCTCTTAAACACCACATAAGTGGAGCCATAACACACTCATTCTAATCTCCTCAGTCAACATATTGAGACCCACTCGTGTTGTAGTGTGTACAATACTTCAGCACTGACCCTAACCCTGAGACCCACTCATGTTGTTGTGTGTACAATACTTCAGTACAGATGTCCTAAAGCCAAAGCCAAGCAGCTAGGCAGCTGAGGTCTTGCACCTCATCAAGTCCCTCTTTGCTACTGAAGAACCCCCTTGTTTTCACTTACTCTTCTTCATTGCCTGATTCACTGTCACTCCCAAATAGGTCCTTCTCTTCATTTTTCTTTCCAGATGATTCTTCTTTCCCTCCTTCTTCTTCACTGTCAGATGCTGCTGTCTTCTCTCTTTTACTTGACTTGTCTGATACAACATCACTATCAGAATCGTCAGGATCAGAGACAACTCGACTCTTCTTTGCTGCTGTTAGAAAATACGATCACTTGTGTTATTTTGTTATATATTACTAAGTGTAACGGGCTGTGAAAATGTGAGCACTGGGAAAAAAATCAAATAGCTAACAGATGAATTAGAAAAAGAAAAAAGTTCCCAAACAACCGATGTAACTCAGTAGTAGAGTACTTGCCTAGCAAGCACAAGGTCCTGAGGTTCTATTCTCAGCATCAAAAACATACAAATAGGTACACTGACTGACAGTCAGTTTACACATTTTCTGCTGCTTTACCTAGGAAGGAGTGGCTAAATGATAAAGATATCACCAATGTAAGCAAGTATCAGTGGCCACCTTTCCGTTTGTGGGACCACAGAAAATTGTGTGCTTGGCAGAATGGGCATCCTTTCCGGGCTGTGCAGCCTTCAATCTAAACTATGTATCCCCCATGTTCCTTATGGTAGCATCAGACTTCTGAGGAAGATGGTGGACCTGAGGCCGCTTCTGTAAAAAAAGTAAGAAAAAGCTGTACCTCAACAAGAGAAATAACGGAAAAGCTTGGGAAATCTTTTTCCTAAGACACGACACAACTCTGGAAGGAACAAGAACAAAGACAAAGAACACAGAGCAGCCAGCCAAACCCGTGTTAGATGAAGTAAGCTAGATGAAAGTCAGGTAGTCATACCCTCAGGACAGTCTACAGCTCTCATGAGCCCCCAAATCTTTTGGGGTTTAGGACAACGATTCTTCCAAGAGAAGGGAAACCCATGAATAATCACAGGGCAATAGCTAGGCATAATCTTGAGAGAGAATCTATTGTTACTGAGCTACCCCCAGGGGCTTGAAATCAGGACCATCCATAGGTCTGGGACTTGCTGTTTGGCTTGCCACCACCCTTGCATGAGGGAAGGCCCAGAGAAGCAGTGGTGAAGAGGAAGAAGAGCTAGATCATAATGGACCAATGTGCAGACAGCAGAAGGCTGCATCAGGCTAGGAAGTGCACAAAGAAAGACAGGGAAAGGGAACAGATCTCACACTGAGAAGTACCCCAGAGTCTGATAGCTCTGAGCCAGAGGACACTGAATAGATCAAAGTCTGGAATCATCTATCTGTTGTTCCCTGTGCTAGAGTCCAAGAACTCTGAAATTTCAGGGTGTACTTGATAGAAACAGCTGCATCTGCCCAGCAGTGTGACCAGTACCCAGGAGGCCTTAAAAATAAGAAGTTGAGGGCTGGAGAGATGGCTCAGCGGTTAAGAGCATTACCTGCTATTCCAAAGGTCCTGAGTTCAATTCCCAGCAACCACATGGTGGCTCACAACCATCTGTAATGAAGTTGGGTGCACCAAATAAATAAATATTTTAAAAAAAAAAAAAAAAAAGAAGTTGGCCTGGCAGTGGTGGAGTGCGCCTTTAATCCCAGAACTAGGGAGGCAGAGGCAAGTGGATCTGAGTTCTGTGTTCAAGGCTAACCTGATATACAGAGTTCTGGGACAGCCAAGGCTACACAGAGAAATCCTGTCTCAAAAACACAAAAAACAGAAACAATGAAAAAAAAATTCAGTGTTGCAGTTGCTTTCCACACTACCTTCCCCACTCCAAGCTAAAACAGTCAGTCTGATGAGTCTGGTAAGATTGCAAGAATCTACCCAGTCCACAAAACGTATATGGTATGCAAAGATCAGGCCAGTTAGAGACTCTGATATACCAAAATGAAAAACTGAAGACAACTCTGGTAGACACAAGACACACAGACAATCTCAGAACACACACAGCATAAACTAAATTCAACTGACCCTCTCCTGTGCACAGAAGTGGCAATCTTTAATTTTCAAGGAACCATAAAGAAACTACATCCATACAGAAACTTTTTTCATGTAAAGTTTTCTCCTGCACATTTAAGCAGGATTATTTTTTTTTTACTGTATTGAATTTTTAATTTTGGTTGTCCCCCTTTACATCTTCATTTAATTTGCTTATGCATTTTTATTAACATTCTTGAACAAAATTTTTTCTTTTCCTTAGTTTCATATTTTTCTGTTTGACCTTTGTCTGTCTTTCCCCATCCCATCATTAGCAGTATTTTGGTTTTATCTTCTTATTGGCTTAAAAAGAAATGTTTCTTAAAAAGAAATTCCCATTCTTACATTTATCTAATTTTGTTTTTAAAGGTTATTACTAAAGTGTTAGTTTTTAAAGGTTTTTATTACTAAAGTGTTAGTTTTCTTTTAAATTTTTCTCTAAATTCTTGTTCTTTTGTCTTCCTCTATACAATGTCATCAGCTTTCCTCTATTATGCCTTATTTCTCTTTGCCTCTCCTTCCCTGCCTTCCTCTCCCCACTGATCATTTCCATGCTTGTCCTGGGTAATTTCTAACTTCACAGATCACTCCATAGTAGTTATGTCAGTTCCTGTCTTCTGCCCACTGCTGTATTAGGTGCAAGGCTAAATTTAAGCCTCTTTCTAGATCTTGTGTGGTTTGATGATGTCACTGCTACAGCAGTCTGTCTCCTTCTCACTTACTGAGACAGGACTGAGCTTTCGAGAGCAGACTGCTCAGTAAAATGATTCCCGCCCCAATGAAGAGAAGATATCCAAGCCAGTAAGTACTTAAATCACCACACAAAATACAAGAAATGTGAAAAAGCAAGGCCACATGACTCAACTAACAAAATCAAAAGGTACTGAAGCAGCTAAAATGAAAATCCAAAACCTTTTTCATAAAAATGATCAATAATCTGAAAGGATACAAAGCATAATAAATTTAATCCACTCTCAGAGAACAGAGTCAGCAACACATATGGGTAAAAGTCTACAAAATAGACGAGAAATCTGAATGGAAAAAGCAATACAGAAGAAAAAGCAAGAACACTGAGATTTTAGGTTGTGGGGTGTTGGAAACAAAAACTCAATGAATCAAATTATATAACCATATGTACAGTATTTTCTCCTGCAACAACTGTCACTACAAAGGAATGTATTGCTCTGTCTAAAAAGACAAGTTGCACAAAAAGTTATTAAGTAAAAAGTATTAGCTGTGAAAATGGAGTCCGAGGCAGCAAAGACTAACACTCCGCAGAGTTACAGTCTCTAAACAGAATCCCTGCAAACCCTGCTGGATGTAGGCATTCAACAATGTGTAACAGCTAACAAAGAAGGACTTCTAAGGCTCAGTTCCTGTCCCAGTGAAATGTGAACTAGCAGTCACAGAAGACCCCAGCCAAGGAGGAATTTTTTCTTCAGTGGTAGAGCCAAAGTAAGGTACATGGATTCTAATTAAAGTCATTTGGTTACAAAAACAAGACAAAAACAAAAAATATCCATAAAAAATAAGAAGATATGAGGGGAGTAGTGGGAGTGGGATATGACAGGATAATGAGGTTAAGTATGATTAAAAAATACTATGTATTTCTATGTGAAAAGGCTATAATGAAATTAACATCACAATGTACACTAAAATATAGCAGAAAAGGATCCACTATTTCAGTTATAAATACAGACAGTAAGAAAAGCTACAGCCTAATAAGCGTCCTTACATGCTTTTTCTTCATCGTCACTATCAGAAAGCACAGTAGCCTTCCGCTTTGCTACTTTCTCCTCTTCCCCCTCCTTTTCTTCATCTTCATCACTATCCAGTTTCTGCCTTTTCGGTTCTTCCTCCTCCTCACTGTCAGAGCTGTGGAGTCTTTTTCTGTCTGCATGGCCCTCTGACTCATTCTGCATTTCTGAATCTTCCCTCTTATTCTCTGCATCACTGTCGTCTGACTCTGGCTTGTGTTTGGGTCTGGAGGCATCCTCGGCTTCCGAATCACTAGCAGGTCCTTTCTGAGGCTCCTCACTTTCTGAGTCGCTGACTCGGGGTTTGGGGAGCTCCTCACTTTCCGAGTCACTGGCCTGTGGCCTTGGAGGCTCCTCACTTTCCGAGTCGCTAACTCGGGGTTTGGGGAGCTCCTCATTTTCAGAGTCACTGGCCTGTGGCCTTGGGGGCTCCTCACTTTCTGAGTCACTGATCCGAGGTTTGGGGAGCTCCTCGCTTTCTGAGTCACTTATACGAGGTTTGGGAGGCTCCTCATTTTCTGAGTCACTGGCCTGGGGCCTTGGGGGATCTTCACTGTCTGACTCACTGACCTGAGGCTGTAGAGTGTCCTCAGCTTCAGAGTCACTGGCAGCATGCTTTCTAACCTCTTCCTTTTCTGAGTCACTTGCATGTCCATTAAGAAGCTCTTCATTTTCAGAGTCGCTCCCATGCTGGATGACATCTTCATTTTCAGAATAACTGGCAGGAGACTCTGCATGCTCCTCATATTCAGAGTCACTGTCCTTTGCCCTATGAAGTTCCTCACTTTCAGAATCACTGGCATTAAGATTGGAGGGCTCATCGTTCTCAGAGTCTGTTCCATTAAGTCTCTTGTTCAAGCCATCTTCTCGATCGCTAGTTTCATTCTGAAAACATAAGAAAAAATTAGCAATGTCAAAAAAGGTAATGTAACCTTTAAAAAATTCCAATAATTTTTTTAAATGTAGGAATATGTGTATACTTAGAGAAGATTTTTCATCCTATACCAATAAAGAAACATCACTTTAAACTAAGGCCAGTCTGTGAAATGGAATGTCGTAGTCTGGCCCCCAAAGACAAGTATAATCAAACCTGTAAAGCATATTCCTACATGCAGAGCTCTCTATGTTTAAAAACAGACCCTTAATTCCTCATACAATTCTAGTTACCCAAAGAAATAAAAACATATAACCAATTTTTCACAAAGGTATAATCCTGAGTTCTATAAAATTGGCATTATTTTAAGGGAAAAAAAGCTTCACTATAAAAACTAATTATTCAAATGTCAAACAGCATATATTCACCCATGAAAATCTCAAACAACACAAAAGTAGTTCCTATTCTCAAAGCACCTATTAAAAGTCAGCATTATAGTCAGGCAGTGGTGGCACACGCCTCTAATCCCAGCACTCAGGAGGCAGAGGCAGGTGGATCTCTATGAGTTGGAGGCCAGCCTGGTCTACAAGAGCTAGTTCCAGGACAGGCTCCAAAGCTACAGAGAAACCCTGTCTCGAAACAAACAAAAAGGCCAGCATTACATTTCCAGCTGGTTCACTTTCTCTTCTTAACAAGTACTTTTCAGGCCAAGAAAACAGGCTTTCACTTAAACAGAGGATGTGATATATACCTATGTCAGTACTCAGGAGGCTGAGGCAGGAGGAAGAGAGCCTGAGGCCAGCTTGAACTATAAAGTAAGAGACCCTAAAAAAAAAAAAAAAAAAAAAAAAAAAAAGGAAAAGAAAAAGAAAAAAGAAAAAAGAAAAAAAGGAGAGGAAAAGATTAAAGGGGCAGGGGATGAGAAGGAATAGTAAAGAAAGGAATACAGGGAGGGATAACTAATACTAAAGGCATTCTGAAAAAGTCATATGGAAACCTACTACTGTAACACTTCCTAAAAGATATACACACATAAAAGAGTTTAAATGGAACTAGTATATAACAGTGTGACAATACCCTAACTAGACACCGCACGCTACCAAATAAAAAAACCCAGTACCAACAGGATTTTTGTTTTGAGCTGTTGGCTAATAAGAGTCCTAGAGACACCCCCCCCCCCAAAAAAAAAACCACTGTAAGTTATTGTCAATGCTTGACCCTATTGCTAAAGAGCTACATATCTGAACCATAGAACATGGAAAAATCTGCATGATACTCAACTGGTTGCTTCATCCCTACTGGCTAGCTTTCACAGCAACACTAGAGTACAAAAGCAAGCATCCGTCTCACTCAGCTGTGAAGCCTGTTACCTACAATAATGACCTGCCTGGCAAGATATGCCCACCAGTGCAGTAGTGGCACAAATGCTATGGGAGTAACTAACTACTTTTCTAAATTTAAGGCCTGCTCCATGAGACAGAATACATACTGACATGGTCAATAAGATCAAGAGCCTGTGGCTAAGTAGACCTATTATAGACCAAGGTTAGGAAAACCTACTATTATTCTGATAAATGAACACAACAATAACATGATTCCTAATGATCTACTGCTAAACCCAAACATCAGACCACATTACTCAACCCTTCTAGTAATAGATGAAAATTAGGGGGCTGGAGAGATGGCTCAGAGGTTAAGAGCATTGCCTGCTCTTCCAAAGGTCCTGAGTTCAATTCCCAGCAACCACATGGTGGCTGACAACTATCTGTAATGAGGTCTGGTGCCCTCTTCTGGCCTGCAGTCATACACACAGACAGAATATTGCCTACATAATAAATAAAAATATTTAAAATTTAAAAAAAAATAGATGAAAATGAACACAGAGACATACAACAGGTCAATGGATAGAGAAAAAAGATTCTGGGGTGCTCAGCCCTAAATGGGACATCTATATCACACTTCTCCCCTCAGAGCTTAGGGATCTAAGTAGAAGAGGGGATAAAAGAGCCAGAGATGGTGGATGACTTCAAGGAAACTTTTCCAAACACAACAGGGCAGAAGCACATATGAACTCACAACCATTGGGAGGGCATGTCCAAGACCTACAGAAGCTTGATCCAGGCAAATCCCAGCATGGAGGAGGGGAAGTAGGTATAAGTGCCACTGAGGAGCTAATGACATTTGATAGCTCTTCGAAGACAGAACATCTTTCCATTATTGGACATCTGGTATGTCGACTACACTCCAGAAGTAACTGGCCAATACAAAAACTGGACTCAATGGATTTGAGACAGAAAACATGAAACTGGGTAAGGAGGCAGGGAGAATCTGTAAGGAATTGTGGAAGGAACATGAACAAAATACATTATAGGAAATTCTTGAGTTATCAAAACAAAAAAAAGGGAAAGAAAATAGATGGTTAGGTAGTCACAGGTAAGCATGTATCAACTAGGGAACACAGACTAGATTCTGGGAGAGTAAGACCAACCTAATTAAACTAATACAATGTAACTTGAAATACCTACCAACCTTCCTTTCTTCCAAAAAAAAAAAAACTAAAAATAAAAGTCAAAGCCAGCCACAGTGGAACATACTTGAAATCCCAGAACTAAGGGGCAAAGGATAGCCACACATTCAAGGCTAGTTAGGGATATACAGTGAATAACATGCCAGCCAGGGCTACACAGCAAGACTTCAGGAAGACACAGACAATATATTAGCTCTTTTTCTTTTGTTAAGATTCCAGCATCATGATCCTCAGCAGGCAGACAGGCAAGGCACTGGAGCAGCAGGTGAATGCTCCCATCTCTGCCCACAAGAAAGCAAAGAGCTTTAACACAAAATGGCATGAGACTTTTAAACCTCAAAACCTGCCCCCAGTGACATACTTCCTCCAAGAAGGCCATACCTTCTACTTCTTCCCAAATAGCTACCAACTGGGCACCAAGTCTGAAGAGTTACAGTGGGTCACCATTAAGTCAGATCACAATAGACACAGAGAGAAACAAGGCTTAAGGTACAAACATGATATATACACCATATAAAAATGATGAAAAAGATAAAAATTAAACCTACCAAAACCAAGTATTTTAGGATTTAGAGTAGTCTCAAACTTCAACTTTAATTTTAGAACCTCAATTTCCAATATTTTGTCCTAAGATGTATTAGCAGAAGCTTAGTAGGATAACTCAAATGGGAAAAGCACTTGCTACCAAGCCTAATAACTTTTGAGTTTGGTCCCCAGAATCCACATGGTAGGAGACAATTGGCTTTTCCAAAGTTTCCTCTAACCTATAGATACACACACACACACACACACACACACACACACACCCCTTACAAGCATGCACATAATAACAACCTCCCCGCAAAAAAGAGGAAGAAAGCTAGGTCTTAAAGTGCATAGATGTTGCAGTTGGCACTACAGGACATTAAGACAGGATTTAACATACTATGGGTTATTTCAAAATAGAGATAATTGGGTCTTTTTCCTGGAGTACCACTGATAGTGTGATACACCTGTAACTACCAAACCCTAAACTTCAATGTAAAAAATTTAAGTTTTAGTTGTATGTGGTGGCATATACCTTTAATCACAGAATTCAGGAAGAAGAGGTTTGAGTTCAGGAGGAAGAGGTAGGTGGATCTCCATTTGAGTTTGAGGCCACGTAGGGCTACATATTGAGATCTTGGGAGGGGGGCTAAAATTTAAATACCTCAGAGACAAGCTAACTGGCAAAACAGAAGCACTAAGAGACAAAATGAGCTGGACAGACCCCTTCCCCCCAACTGCTACCCTCTAACCTGGATTTCCTAACACATGGTATATGCACTGCAAAACAAGCAATTATCAAATTATTACAAGGATGTTACATTTTTACTTATTTTTATAAAACAGGATTTCACTATGTAGCTCTGGCTCTCCTAGAACTTGCTATGTTGCTGTGAACTCAGAGATCCATCTGTTTCTGCCTTCCAAGCACTAAGATGAAAGATGTGCTCCACCATACCTGGCTCCTATCATTTTTAAAATGAGCTCTGTAACATCTGGGCACTCTTCCAGTTATGTGACATGAAGGGAAAAAAAGAGCAATAGTCTCAGTCAAGAGCAAACTCTGGCCCTGTAGGCACACATCTTTAATCTCAGAACCTGGAAGGCAGAAGCACCCGAATTTTCTGTGAGTTCAAGGCCAGCCTGGTTGGGCTGGGCTAGTCAGAAGTAGGTGGTAAAGAGCCTGTCTCAAAACAAACAAACAAACAAAAAAGGGGGGGGGGGGAGAACTAGTAAACAGACTCAAGCAGGGGGCAAAGACATTACAGAATCTGAGGAGACTGTATTAAACCCATACAGCTAAAAGATTTGATGTTATTAAAATACTTAAAAATTTTAGACTATTTTTAGCAGTCAAACTAAAAACTTAAACTTTTTTAAAACAGAAATCAGACACAAGTATAGGAAACATTACAAATTACCACCAAAGTTTCTTTTTTTCTCTCTCTCCTTTTTTTTTCCCCCTTCAAGACAGAATTTGCCTGTGTAGCCCTGGCCATCCTGGAACTCGGATCTGTAGATCAAGCTAGTCTCGAACTCACAGAGATTCACATGCCCCTGCCTCCTGGGTCCTGGAATTAAAAGTGTGTGCCAATATGGCAAGGCATGGATGGCACCACCAAAATTTATTTGTTTATTTATTTAGATTTTTTTCTTTTGACACGGTTTCTCTATATAACAGTCCTGGATGTCCTGGAACTCGCTCTGTAGACTAGGCTGGCTTTGAACTCAGAGATACACCTGCTTCTCCCTCCTGAGTGCTGGAATTAAATGTGTATGCCACCACTGCCTGGCCAAAATTTCTTAAAAGTCATTTTCCTCCCCAAAAGGGTATCAAATTTACTATGTAATTGAGGCTAGATGACCATGAACTTCTGGTCCTTCCTGATTCTACCTCCTGAAAGCTGGGATTAAAATCATGCACAACTACATCTAGTTTATACAGCACTAGGGATTTGTACTCAGCGGCTTATAGCATTGCAGGCAAGCACTCTATCAACTGAACTACACCCTCAGCCCAAATGTCATCTTTTTAACAAGCAAAAAGTTCCCACTTAGAGCTTTCAAGAAAACCGAGCACTCTGAGGATCTTGGGAAGCTTTAGAAATGTCTGATCGCAAGCTTTCTCTGCGATCATTCACACTGCAGTTATAAAAAACTATTGGTTATCTATCATAGACACATTGTTCATTTCAACATTCAAGTATCAACCATGCTCTTACAGACTAAGGTTACAGCACATAATAAATGACGTTTCGGTTATGAGCCTTAGCCTTTCATTGCTGAGCTATCTCTCAACCTTAACTGACATACTTTAAGTGAAAAAAAAAAAAAAAACAGTTGTAATGCAATGATTTGTAGCATGAGGGAAGGGGAGGGAAAGGAGAGTATTAAATATCACAATTCTATCAATTCTAATATAAACTCCCAGAGACAATTGCAATGTTTTAAAAATTCAGTTTTTAACCAGCCAACAGTGGTGGCATACACCTTTAATCTCAGCCCTTGGGAGGCAGAGATAGGGAGATCTCTGAGTTCAGGACCAGCCTGGTCTACAGAGAGAGTTCTAGGACAGCCAAGGCTACACAGAAAAATCCTGTCTGGAAAAACAAAGCAAAACAAATAAAAAACTTGGCAGCCATAAAACTTCACCACTTGGCAAAAATACTCCTCTCATGAAGCCTTTTCCATCTTTCTCTCTGGAAAGAACAGAGTTTGTGCACTGCAATGTGAAAGTTAAAAACATAGACTTTAGAGTCACACAACAGCCTGAGAAGCCACAGCCTGACACTGTACATTGTGTGACCTGAGGAGACATTCTTAGTGCTCAAAGCCTCTGTCTACAAAGTGTTAGTTAGAAACAGTAATTATACTTTAAAGAGCTGCTCTGAACATTAAATGCATGAAAAGCTGCTAATAACAGAACCTTACTAGTTGTAATTAATTATAAAATCTTTCAGGACACAGCACAAACACAACCTTCTGACAGAATTAGTCATTCCTCTTTCATATCCGCCCCCCACAGCATCTTCTATTTCTACATTACCAAAAATGAGACTCTACCTATTTTCCAATAAAAAATTTCAAGTTTATTTCATTTATATGCATGAGTGTTTTACCTGTATGTGTGTGCATGTATGTATGTACCATACATGTGTGCCTGGTACCTGCAGAGCCCAAAGAGGGCATCAGATCCCCTGGAATTGGAGTTATAGGCAGTTGTGAGTCATCATGTGGGTCCTGGGAATAGAAACTGTGTCCTCTATAAGAACAAGTGCTCTAAATCACTGAGCCATCTCTCTAGATACCCATTTTTACATTTTATAGAATTCATGGAACAGTACTTGCATAAAATTCCACACAAGAGGAGTCAGTGGTTAAGAGCACTTACTGCTCTTCCAGAGGACGTGGGCTCAATTCCTAGCACCCACATGGTGGCACACAACTGTCCGTAATTCCAATTCCAGGAGACTCTTCTGGCCTCCAAGGGCACTGCATACCTGTGATACAAAGACATAGAAGTTATACACATAAAATTTAAAAAATAAAATCTTTAAGCTGGGTGATGGTACAAACCTTTAATCCTAGCATCTGGGAAGAGGCAGATGGATCTCAACGGTTTGAAAACAGCCGGGTCTATAGAGCAAGTCCCAGGCTAGCAATATAGTGAGACTCGGTTTCAAAAACAAAGCTCACTAAAATTTCCTAGCGAGCACACAATTTGAAAGTATCCTAGTTTTTTCAGAAAAACATTTAAGACTGGATCTACAAGATGCAAGAGTTTCAAACAGCAGTAACTACCCTGCGTCCTCATTCACGCCTCAAAATGGGAGTGGAGACTCAACGACCAGGAGTCTCCAGGCTTCTCTCAACCAGGCAAAAAGTAAATTTTAGGGTGGAGATGGAAACAGGTTATTTTCACAGAAACCTGTGTGACCACATGGTGTGGTCAAAACAATGTGGTTACCACCAAGTAAATCCCTCTGACTGGTTGATAACTGCTGCTACTAATATGCACTCCTTAGCTATCAAACTTAAAAAGAAAAGAAGGTTTTAGGCCCAACACTAAATGGGGAGAGGCACTTTATTTTCTGCCAAATGTTTGCAGAGATCAGTTTTAAATGGAAAGGTGCCATCCCATCCTCAATCAAAGGCCATACCTTGGGCACAACATTTAGAAAACACAGGGGCTCTTGTCAGACACACGCACATGCACACACACACATATACACACACGCTTGTAAGAATATGACAATGAGTTGCTACTGGCTCTTGCTGAGAGCTCAGCTTCCGTAGCCGTGATGTCAGCCAGGGAAAAGCTCACCATTTTCCCATTACTAGTTCCAGAGTACTCGAGAAAACATGGAATTAAACTAAATCACTCCTGATCACTTCCCAAAGAAATAATCAGATTTGAGAAAATTGTGGCAGAAGATTTCAGGCACAGGCTACAATATAGGTCAGTTAGTTTGCTAGACAGCACCAGGGATCATGGCTAGGAAGAAGAGCTAGAGAGATGGCACAGCAGATAAGAGGACTGGCTGCTCTACCAGAGGATCTGGGTTTGACTCACTCAACTCCAATACCAAAGGATCTGATGCACTCTTCTGGCTCTTCAGGTACCATAAGTGCAGCTGGTGCACAGGCACACATATAAGCAAAACATACAGCAAACATACACAATAACAAAAAGAGTCAGCTAGGAGTAGTCTGGGACCACTCTGTTTTAAGGAAACCATTCATTTCCAAAGAGCCAGAATTTTGTGGGATTGTTTTATAAAGCAATATATGTCACAATGCATTATTCAAAACAGTATAATCAAGGGGTAGCAAAGTTCAGTAGCCTGGTGTGGTGAAATAAAAAAGCTTTGACAGTCTAAATATCAATAGTTAGGGAATCACCAAATATACACTCAACAAACCAGAGTGCACACTAAAAACATGTGAAGAAACTAACAGTACCTTGTGGACGTGTACTATGTAGCTAGGTCCAGAGTGGGCCTTTATTTGTCATTATTTCCTGAACATAGCGTTCTAACTGAACTAGGTATGGTAAGTAGTCTAGCAATGACTGAAAGTATAGAGAACAAAGTGCCTATTACACAAAAACTACACCTTAAAAAAACTTTTTTTTTTTTTTGAGACAGGGAACTGACTAGCCTTCAAACTTGCAGCAATCCTCCTACTTGTTTCCAAAGTGCTAGAATTTCAGGCATGAGCCACCATGCCTGGCTTACCATTTTAAATATGTTATTTTTTTTAGTGTTGAAACTCCAACCCAAGGTTTCATGCATGCCAAGAATACACATCATCACTGAGCTATACCCCATCCCTTGTGTCATTTATAATATATAATGTGAGCATCCTTGGGGTTTCAGATGGCAAGGATAAGGTAAAGAGTCCTGAAATCAATTTTCATGGACAAAGGGATGACTGTACTGTTATATCCATATTATGAAATCATTAAAATTACACTCATAGTTTAAAGTTTCTTTCTACTGGAAAATAAACCCAATAATAGGATTTTGACTTTTAGTCATGTGCATGTCCAAAGCACTTTTTAAAAAAGCACGATACACAGCATGCTCAGTGCTGAGTATTCATGATGTGAACATGTAAACTGAAAAATGACATGACTGTAATGAGAGTCAATACAATTTCGAAGACACATCTACAACTTAAAATTAGACAAAACTTTATATGTTTATGTAATAAAAATGCCAGTCATAAAATTCTTAGAAAATCCATCCACCTTTACCATTCCTATTTGTTTCTATGTATATCTACCAAAGACATGCTGATTTATTGGAAAGCTACAATTTTATGTTGTTAAGAGATGCTATATGACCAGGTGGTTATTAAGCAGCTTCAAAAATATTTAGGACAAATGTTAAAATGTATACAAAATTCACCAATATTTGGTTACTAAAGCATCTTTTAAAACTACATTTGTTGCAAGTACAGTTGTACGTGCCTGTAATCCCAGGGACCTGAGAAGCTGCTAAAGCAGAAGAATCAAAAGTTCAAGACTAGCCTCGGCAATTTAGGAAGATTCTGCCTTAAAAATAAAAAGAGGGCTCCATGATAAAGGCATTCATTTGTCACTAAAGCTGACAATCTAAATTCAATCCTCAGATCCCACTTGGTGGGAGAGAACTGATTCCTGCAAGATGTCTTCAGTCCACCACATCGTGGCATGCCCAGCTCACACTCCTAAATAAACATATTAAAAAATAAAAGGTAGCTCAATGGTAAGAGTGTTTACTTTCCTAGCAGATCCAAAGCTCTGGCTTTAATCCCAAGCAACACAATAACAAAACAAACACAGCAAAACATTATATTTGAATATTTGTTTAATGATTGCAAAGATGTGCTACATTCTTTTATGTTGCATTTGTTTAACTCTGTGAAGCTGAGTTACTTTGCCTGTCTAAAACATCTGATGGTCTAATAAAGAGCTGAACGGCCAATAGTGAAGTAAGAGAAGAATAGGCTAGACTGCCAGGCAGAGAGAATAAATGGGAGAAAAAGGAAGAGAGAGGATGCTAGGGGCCAGTCACAGAGTAAGAAGAAAAGAAAAGATATACAAATAGAAAAAGAAGAAAAGCCCAGAGGCAAAAGGTAGGTGGAATAATTTAAGTTAACAAAAGCTGGGTAGAATTAAGCCAAACTAAGCCTGGGTATTTACTTATAAGTAAAATAAATCTCTGTGTATTTATTTGGGAGCTGGGTAGCAGGCCCCTAAAGAGTAAAGAGTTAAAATAAATAATAACTACAACAGAATGACAAGTCTAATTCCTGACATAAACTTTAAGAAACTATATCTCCCCTAATTGTTTTTGACTGCAAATGCTTACTGCCTTTCCCAGCCTACTAATAGATCATACTCTAAATAAACAGGCACAGCTGAAAACTGCCTAGATTTTAAATCTGACCCAACAGAACTTTTTCCTGTGAGCATCAGTGACCAGACCATCTCTGTTCACCTGAAAACAATCCACTAATTTACACCCTTTAACTTTCAGGGATGAAAGCCTGTGGCAATCTCTAAAACTCCTAAATAAAATAAGTGCCATAGAAATGTCAGGAAAAGCCTCCCCAAAGACACTGTACCTCTGAATGCTGTTCTCCACTCCCAGTGTCGGATCCGGAGTGCTGCCCATTGACATCCTCCTCACCATCGGACCCCGAATCCCGCTCGTCCTGGACTGGGGTAGCACCACCATCATCTGCTTAAAACAAAACAAAACCCCACTTAGGGTGTAAGATGGATGATATCTGTAATAATGTTTACGAGTACAGTTAAAAACAACCACCTACACTTAAGATGAGTAAACCGAATATAAGAGCCAAAAGTTACTACCATTGAAGAAGCATATAGCTAATGAAGCAAATGTTCTGGAAAAAAAAAATAGAAAACATATAAATACCAACAACTATTACCATGTAGTGTGGCACATATAGCAATAAAAATATTTATAAAGATGAAGCCTAGAAAAACCACTAAATGCCAAGTCAAAGTCATCTAAATAGTTCCAATTTTTTTATTGTCTATCTTCCCATGGCACTTACCATGAACTGTCACCTAACCTACCAATACCTTAAAAATACAAAATAAAATTATGCTTGAGAGGTATTTAGGGACATTGAAAGACATGACTTGATTAGCAATTTAAGAAATAAATAGGTAGTCAGGTGGTAATCCCAGCACCGGGGAGGCAGAGACAGACGGAACTCTGAGTCCGAGGCCAGCCTGGTCTGCAGAGCAAGTTCCAGGACAGGCTCCAAAGCTACACAGAGAAATCCTGTCTCGAAAAACAAAACAAAAAAGTAAATAAAAATTAAATGAAACAGTCACCTACAAGAAAGTCAAAGTAGCAATACGAAAATAGGTGACTCTGATACTAATGAGATATTCTATTCACCTGAAGAGTAAAGTTTATAGCTGAGCATGGTACACGTCTTTAATCCCAGAGCCTGTCCTGGGATGGACGAGGTTGGTCTCGAACTCACAGGGATCCGCCTGCCTCTGCCTCCCAAGTGCTGGGATTAAAGGGGTGTGCCACAACCGCCCAGCCTTAACTTTAAAATGCCAATGAACTAAAAAAATATTTTGAAAAAAAAAAAAATATTTTAAGCGAAACAGCAGTGGAGGTCCAGGACAACAGAGTCTACTGTCATGGCAGTTCAGTCATTAGCAACTGAAGTCAGAACAGAAAGCAGCTTAATGCTTAACCATCTATTACAGTACTTAATGCTTAACTATCTACTGCAGTACTTTTGATACAGAGAGTCCAAAAGAAATCAGCACACAGCTGTTTTACCCATCCAGGCCTTCGCCTCGTTCATCTTTACATCTAATGTGCCTAGCATAGTGGAGCCGACTTCGTGCAGAAGGCACGAATTCACTCTAAGTACCCGGGACTCGTCCCCTGTTTTAAAAGACGTCTGGTAAACTTAAAGCTCCTGCGCGTTCTTCCCGGGAAGCCCGCATTACAGGAGAACTTAAACTAGCCCTAACTGGTAAAGAGTCTAGAAGGTTCCCTGTCCTCGCCACCGACCGTTTTTTTAAGGATCCTGGAACAGTTCAACTGGCAATTGCCTTAAAAGGGCAGCCCGCTTCCCTCGCAGGCAGAGGTGACAACCTGAGGAAAACCCCTTGGGGAGCCGGGCAGACCTCTCCGAGGTCGCAGCTCCCGCCCCGCCGGTGCCTCTGGGGTACAGTCTACCGGGGAGGGGACCGTCTAGCCCGGGGCCTGTCCCCTCCGTGCTGGGGCCCGAGGCTGAGCCGCAGCCCGGTCCACCCGTCCCGACCCACCTGACTGGTCCCCGCTGTAGTACTCCGAGTCCATGGCGGGCGGGCTCTCGGCGGGGAGTGTCCGCGACACGCGCCGCCCCCGTCACGTCCTTCCTGGCCGAGTGACCTCCCTCGGCGGCGCCGCGCCTCGGCCTCGTCCGAGGGTCCGGAGAAGTCGGCCGCGGCCGGCGCAGACGCCCCGACCCCGACACGCCAGCTACCCGAAAGGGCCGTACCTCACAGGCCGGCAAAGTGGAGGTCCGCGCGCAACTTCCCAGAAGCACCTCTGGGGCCAAAATGGCGCCTGCCCACGACCCTCAGAGCAACGCAGTGCGCAGGTGCCGTCACCCTTCCGTCGGCCAATCAGAAGGTGCTATGGTTCTCTGACGCCATGGCAGCGTCGGGAAGGAGACTGCTGGGAGAATCGAATGGGAGCGGGAAGTTCGGCTTCAGATAAATAACGACCTCGGGCCGGATTCGGTCTGTCAACAGTAGGAGTGATGTTACTCGCTTGCCTCTGTGTTCGAGCTTGCTTTGAGGAACATTTGAGTTTCTGCGAAAAATGAGAACCCTCTAAAATTGCATTTTAACATTCGGCCAGTTCCAATTCCCGCCCTAAATTCTGAGAGAAAGTAGCGCGTTGTTCTCTGGGACTTGTAGTTCTAAGGTTAGAGAGCGCTGATGAATTGTATGACGTTCTCCAAAGCGTCTTGCCTGTACAGGGTCTCAGGTTGAATTCCCTTCGCCGAGAAAGTTAAAAAATGGATAAAAGAAAGTCATGAAATAAAGGGATTGGTACTTATGAAACATCTTATTTCCTTTCTTTACAAAATAACTAAATTGCAACTGAAAAACTATTTGGTCATCGAGTATAGATCTTTGTCTGAAGAGCCCCTTGATAGCCGGGCGGTGGGCACACATCTTTAATCCCAGCATGGCAGAGGCAGGCAGGATCTCTGCGTTCGAGCCAACCTGGTGTAGACAGTGAGTTCCATGACAACCAGAGAAACCCTATCTCGAACCCCTACACACACACACACACACACACACACACACACACACACACACACACGAAGGGACGGAGGGAGGGAGAATTAAAACCTTGTTAAAGAAGCAAGTAGCTACTCAAACTCATTTGGTTCCAGGACTCTGAGTGATCTCTTAGTAGTCCTCAGTCAGGAAGAGTTGAGTGGTAGTTGAGGAAGTAATAACGTGCATTCTTTGCTGCAACAAATTAGAGAGGAATTTCAAAACACAGGAGATTAGATTGGCGATTAGATCTATCATGAGAAGGCATCCAATAAAAAGAGTTGTTGATGTTCCACATGTATGATAGGAAGTCTCTAGGTGATCCTTTTTTTTTTTTTTTTTTTTTTTTTTTTTGAGCTGTCAGGCCTTCTTAGCCACCTGATAAATCCGTGAATAAGCAACATTCCACCCCTAACATAGCACAGATCCCTCCCTTCTCTGTGGTAATGAGATCTAATCCCCATCTATTTTGTAATACCATGACTGCCAGGGAATCCAACTGAGTCTGGCATTTTTCTGTACTGTCCTGTGCCAGTGTCAGATCAACCTTGATTCGTTGAGGAAATTGGCTATGCCATACTTGTTGGAGTCCAATGACCCTAGGAATGGAAGTAATATGTTAGCCCTTTTGGTTCAGATAGGGGTGGGCAGATGGTTTTTGTTAGCCCAAGAGATGATTATAAGAACTGAGATTAAATATACAGTTTGGCACCTGGGGTAATTGATAGGTAGCAAGAGAAGAGGTCATTGGGACATTCAAAATAGGTGCCATTAGGGACTTTTGAGTTGGAAATTAGCCTGGTGCAGTTATGACGGCCCACACAATAGCCTTAGCCACAATTTGTACAGACCAGGCATGAAGGCAGGGCTTGAATGTGGAATTCTTCGTTACAGGGATTTTAGTTAAGTCTGGTCCCAGGTATGTAACTTGTCTTGCTCTCAGACAGATCCAACAGTCTTTTCCTAGGTCAGGCTGAATTTTAGAGAGCATTTAATGGCTACTATTTACAAGGACAAGCATTTGAAGGAGAGGAGCATTGATATTCAAGGGGGTAGGTTAGTATTTGACTGGCTTGAGTTTTTTGAGTAGGAATTTTATCATTAGAGAAAGGGATCAAGATTCCTTGTGGATCCAAGTATAAATGGGGACAGAGATGTCTACATTTTTTACCTATTGTCTACTCAGAGACTTTTTCTTAAGACAGTAATCTTAAAGCTTATCCATCATTTTACTTTTACAGGATCCCATATAAAGAACCTTGCCCCCCACGACAGCTGGAAGTAATTCTAGAAGACAACGTCCCCTCTGCCAACAAAGTTTGTCCTCAGGGTTAGGGACATCAGTTAGGGGTTGATTATAACTGTTATAGGGTTGGAGTTTGGGGTGGAAATTATGTAGGCTCAGGGACTTCTTTGAAAAAGAAAAAGAAAATGGATGGACTAATAGGTAGATTAGTGTGAGCTTACTCACACTAATAATACTGTGTAATAGAGTGAATACTTGTGAGCTATTATTTATAAGCAATTTACATTGGTATAGATTCTTATATAGTGATATAAATTCAAATTATATTGAATATGCTCCTACTTCTGTTTAAAATATTTGTACACCTAGGCAAAGTATTTTGTCATACTGTATACATGCACGCTTTTACCTCTGCTTAAGACATTTTGTATATTGATACAATTTTAGGATATATTTATCATACTGCACTATAAATTTCTAGCACTGATCAAGATACTTATACATTGTTTATATTTTGAGGTCATTGTCCTCATTTGCTGCATAATTGTTTAAAGATTCTAATATGAAGTCTTAGTCTTTAAACTATATAGATACTAAGAATTATAGGTCTGATAGAGGAGTTACTTTCATTGGTTAATAAAGAAACTGCCTTGGCCCATTTGGTAGGCCAGCCCTTAGGTGGGTGGAGTAGACAGAACAGAATGCTGGGAGGAAGTGAGGCAATCGCCATGCCGCTTCTCTCTGGGTCAGACGCGATGAAACTCTGGCTCAAGATGGATGTAGGCTAGAATCCTTCCTGGTAAGCTACTGCCTCATGATGCTACACAGATTATTAGAAATGGGTTAGTCGAGATGTGAGAGTTAGCCAAGAAGAGGCTAGATACAATGGGCCAGGCAGTGTTTAAAAGAATACAGTTTCCGTGTAATTATTTCGGGTAAAGCTAGCTGGTGGTTGGAGCCGGGCAGCAGGAATGCAGCCCACAGCTCTTACTACAATAGGTCAATCGTCATCCATGTTTGTCATACTTATAGTTAGACTAATCAGGATTTTTAGATACATAGAGATTGCATTCCACATAGGTAATCTTCAACCACTTCAAAGAACTGTAGAATATGGTATTTAAGTAACTCAGGGTTCTGTTGACATGAGACACAATTGCTTCTGGCAGCACCAATCTATTCCCAAGAGAATGTTGAGCACCAAAAACACTCCACTTGGAGCTTGTTTTCTTCTTGGTAAAACTGGCCTTTGGGCAAGTAACTGCCTATGCCTCAACCACTGACAAAATGCACAGTATTTGGACAGGACAAGCAGAATACAAGAATAAAGCCTGTCAAACCTTGCCAAAACAGGGTTAGACAGTTGTGAAACTTTTTCTGCCCCTGAAAATGGTCTGTTAGTTACTGTAAGCCTTATCTAAAGTTTGTTGCTCCAACATTGCAAATGAGACTTTGGGTGATTGCCTAGGTAGCCAGGTGTCTCTGTCATTTATTGCACAAGTTGGAAGCTGCTTTATTGCGCTTCCTATTTACTCATGTAATATTATTTTTCTTCTCAGGTCTTCAATAGGGTTGAAGACTAGATAGATAGTCATAGTTACTTTTCTCTCATGACTTGGCCAAGACATTTCTAATATGGTTTTGTATTAGGCTTAGAACTCTCTTAGACAAAAGGGAGAGGTGCTGTGGTAACTCCTTCAGCCAATAGCCTTTAAGTTACCAGACCACTTGGGTATGGTCTCTTATACTATAAATGCAGCCATAAAGCTTGTGTATGAGGGGTTGTGCATGCGTGTGATCTTTCTCCACTGCTGGATTCAGTTCCTGTTGCCTGTTCATGCAGAGGACTGTGATCTGTGAGTCTACACCTGAACAAAGAACCCTTATTATACTCAATTCTGAGATAGGGTGGGATTACTTTATAGCATTCATCTTCAATAAGTCTTCTCTAGTATGTTATCCTATAGCAAATGGTCAGCCTTTCAATCATATGCATGAGGAACACTAAATGAACTGAGCAGTTTGTATTTATATATTTATGTGTTTATATGTTAACAACAACAAAGAATAAGAGGCCATGATTTTGAGAGCAAGAGAGTAGGGGATAGAAGAGGTTGGAGGGAAGAAAAGGAAGAGAGAAAATGATGTAATTATATTTTAATTTCAAATAAACAAACCTAATAAAGTGATTTAAGAAAAATGAGCTTATTTTAGCTCATAGCTTGGGGTCCTCTAATGCAGTAAGGGTTTGAAGCAAGAAGCAGAGTGATGAATGCTAGACTTGCTCTTTTCTCTTTTTTATTTGGTCAAGCAATTAGGGTGGCTCTTCCCACTACAGTTAACCTAATCTGGATAATCCTTCACAGAGATGCCCAGACACTAACCCAATCCAGACACTCCCTTATAGATGTGCCTAGACACTAACCAAATCCAGATATTCCCTTATAGACGTGCTCAGACACTACCCAATCCAGATACTCCTTTATAAACATGCCCAGAGGCCAACCCAATCCAGATACTCCCTTATAGACACGCCTAGACACTAATCTAATCCAGATACTCTCTTATAGACATGCCTAGGCACTAATCTAATCCAGATACTACCTTATAGACATTCTCATAGAATCTTAGAATCTTAGATAGTTCTTAAGACTGTCAAGTTGACAATATTAACCACACAGGGTGCAGTGGCCCACACCTGTACATACCATTCATTACTCAGCAAGCAGAAGCAGGAGGATCAGAAGCTCAGTGTCTTCCTTGGCTACGTAGCAGGTTTGAAGCAAGCTTGGGCTACGTGAGAGTCTTTCTTAAAATAAAAGGGAGGGAAGGACTGGATAGATGATCCAGTCACTAAGAGCTCTTGTTTGCTCTTTCAGAGGATCAGAGTTTGGTTCCCACTACTCATGTGAGCCACATACATCTGCCTGAAACTCCAGATCCAGGGGATACAGTGCCCTCTTCTGGACTCTGCAGGCACCTGCACATGAGTAATAAAAACACACATGC